ATCATACAAAAATAAAAATTGTATAAAAAATAAAAATATTTTTTTTGGGGTGGACACCCCTTATCACTAGGGGTTTGAAAGAGAGATAGTAGCCGACTCAGACTTACTGAATGTGCATAAAAATTTCATAAGAATCGGTCGAGCCGTTTCGGAGGAATATGGAAACGAACATTGTGACACGAGAATTTTATATATTAGAAGATGAAAAATTGTTTTGTACAAATATATAATTAAAAACACGGAGCCATAAATTGTAACTGTAATGAATTGTCACACTGTGTTATTCATAATATGGCGTATTGAGATCCGATAGTTATGAACATGTTTTTCTGGTAATAATAATAAATAAATAATACAATTACTATCCAGTGGGCGCTACAACCCTATATGGGTCTTGGCCTCAGATTGCATGCGTTTCTGTGATCATTTTTATTTCATAGACAAGTAGGTGATCAGTCTTCTGCCTGATACATGTCGTTGATTTTTTATTTGGGACATGCCGGTTTCCTCACGATGTTTTCCTTCACTGTACGCACATAGAAAGTATATTGGTGCACAACCGGGGATCGAACCCCTGACTGCAGGGATGAGAGTCGCACGCTGAGGCCTCTTGGCCAATTCTATTTCTTAGGCACAATAAAAAAAAGCATTCAACTTCTTCTTTCTACATTCACTTCTTGATGTGAAGAAGTCTGCCAATTGTCTAAATTGGCGTCTGTATACTGCACAACATTTAAAAGTAATATTGAATCTGTCCTGCTTGAGAGGATCAGAATTTATAATTGTCTATCTTTTAAATCATTAATTAAAGTTCTTCACTTATAAAATTAATAGTAAAATTAAACATTATTAGGGTGGTTATACATAAGTTACAAGAGTAATATTAGATATAATTCGAAATCTGTGCTAAATATTTAAATAGATAAATTAAATTAGCATTTAAAAATTATTAAAAAAAACTTTTAAAATTCATTTTGCGTGTCAAGAGATTATATTTTTTATACATGTTCAGTATTTAAAAAAATAAAATTAATATATTTAAAGTGTATAAATGCCCTAATTTCGCAAAACGTTTAGCGAAGCAAATCTTTACTACTCATACGTTTCTTTTTAATGAATTAAATCACGTTCAGTAATAACTGTTACGTTTCCATATTGAGGAATTTTAAATATAAATACCAATGTCCATCGAAGCAGCATCATTCACAACGGCGACCCACAATGAAGACAATCATAGTGTTATCTGCATTGGCGACTATCGCCATTGCAGTACCAGTGTGGGAAAATGGCAACAAGCAGGACCCTCAGCACAACGCTATTCACAAAACCATCAAACGCGAAAGGAAGTCCACCATTCAAGAATCTCCAGCTGATCTATCATTAGACAACGATGGGTCATCTTTAACTGGTATCTCCAAGGACCCACTCAATCACAAAGCACATGGTTTCAGAAAACCGGTTATAGTGAAGAAGAAATTCGGGTACCAAATTTTCAGGGACTCTGATGAAGAACTCGCCCAAGCTCAACCCCGCGAAAACTGCAGAAGGCAATTCAGATTCAAGCTCTGCGATGAAAGTGATGAAACCGCTGTAAACAACATGAGAACAATCAACACTGAGAATGTTGAGGAGAGAGACGTACAGCATAGTTTAAAAATGGCTAAGGAGGCAGTTGAAATATTGCAAAGGGATCTGCAAAAGATCGAAGAAAGCACTAAAACCATGCACAAAAATCATTTGGAAGAAGACATAGAAGATAAATTACACAGGAACATAGAACATGTTAAGGAAGCATCTCAATTATTAAATCAAAATATTGGAAACCTTGACGCTCTCGCTTTAAAAGCAGTCTCGTCCAAAGAAATAAACCTCGAGAAGACAGACTCAAAATTAGAAGAATCCAGAATGGCTCAGTGGAAAGAGGCAATTGAAAATATTCAAAAGAATGTTGAAATTGTAAAAAACATAGAGGACACATTTAAAAGTGCGGAGCTTAGCCATGCATTATCTGGTGAAGATCTCGATGTATCGAATACAAAACATATAGAAAAGCTAGATACAACACATCATACCTTAGAAAACAACGACAAAACAAGAGCAAACACGGAAGAAAACACAGAAAGAAAATTAGAAGAAAATATTCAACATAAGAATGCTGAAGTAGAATCTGATATGGAATCATATGCCACCGAAGCCAAAAAAACACATGCTAGTCTTCATAGTGATAGTTTGAAACTTGACAATGCCAGAAACTGGGATATAACTGAAAATGTAAGACATGCTGAAACTAATGCCAAGAAAGAGGAGAGTAACCTTCAAGAGTTTAACAACGATTCCCCCCAGCATAATACAGTTGAAGAAAAATCTGTCCATCACACTGATGCAGATGATTTTCAAGACAAAAAAGAAATGAAAAAGACAGACATAATCGACGAACTAGAAAAAAATACCCATACTAAGATTCAGCATGAAAAAACTGTCCACACCGAAAATAACGAAAAATTGTTAGAAAGATCCAATAACTTTAATGCCGCTGAAGAGGTCAGGAAACATAATATGGAAGATAAAACAATTTTAAAATCTGCAGAAGACAAAAATACCATGGGAAAAACTAGCGAATCAATGATCACTACTATGGATGATAAGCATTTACAAAATGAAGTAAGAAACCAAGAAAAGGATTCTGAAGCGTCGGAAAGTAGGAATATTCATACCGAGAACATGTTTATAGCCAAAGAAGCTTTAAATAAAGATTCACTAGGTGTTGAAGAAATCATGCACAATGAAAAGAAGTCAATAGAATCTAACTTAAATTTATTAAATGCAGATGCTATGATGCGTTCTGCAGACGATTTTAACGACGACGTAACATCATTTAAAAATGCAGAATTAGGTGATGCTAGTCACCTTCAAATGCGAGAAGCTATAGAACTAACTTCTGATGATAAGAAAGAAAAATCAGCTACTGAAAAAGAACATGAAATCAACACCCTGAGTCAAGCCGAAGACCTTAAAGAAATTGAGCGGTTGCGTAGCGCAATGAAAACAGAGGATAACCACGATAAAACCCATAAGACTGATTTTGAAAAGTCTGCTGTAGTCGAATCTACTAAAATACATGAACATGTTGATTCAAAGACAACTGCAGACAAGCAAATAAATCATAACAATGCAGTTTTTCAAAAGTCAGTTGATTTGAAAAATACTGAAGAAAAGAACAAAAATTTTGCAAAGGATCAAATTACATCACTCCATAATAATAACGAAAAAATGTTGGAGCAAGGAAATAGTATGCGATTTGTTGATGAATATGGTGATCGCAACTTACCAGTCAACGCTGCCGACTTAGGAAATGATTATCAACAGAGAATGTCAGAGATGGATTATTTTAATAATATGAATTCACAGCACAATGCACAACTGGAAGCAGACAAAAATCTCGACTTCCATACATCCTCTTATATTAACCAAGGTATGTCCGAGTGGGACAGGAATCAGCAACACTACCACTCCATGTTACGTCCACCACCTTTCATGCCCTGGATGCACGACCGCCTCAGAAGTAACATCGACTCGCTTGGTAACCATCAGGAAAACTTGGGAAATATGCAGATAGATCACCATCAACACGAACACCATTTCAACAATATGCACTCTGACGGACATCACCACCACCATCACCACGCATTGCCAATGGGAAGATTCGTTAACAACATCCAAACAGGCATTAACCACGATCTACTGAATGGACCTATGCTGAGAGAGAATATGATGGAAAACGGAGGAGCTATAGATTTAGATAGTTCAATGCAGCCTAGTATGAAAATAAACATGCGAGATGCGTTAGATCAAAACGGAATGAAGTGGAATTATCAACCAACTGGAAAGTCTGGCTTTGGCTCAGGTACAGTTGGTGTATTCCCTAACGCCAATAGTGGATGTGGGATACCACTGCTATTAAGCTGTTCACCATCTGTTGTGTCTGGAAGTTTGGCGAAGCAGTCCTCGCTCGGGTTTTCCGGACACAACTTCAGGTCTGGAGATGACATGAGATTTTACACAAAGCGTGATGCTCAGGGAATAAATGAAATCAAACCAACAAATCTTAAGAACTTCTCAACTACTAGTTGAAATGGAATCTATGAACCGGTGGAATACGGTCGATTATTGCACGACAAGGACGAAACGCTTTCATTATTTGATTGTAAAAATAGGTTAAGTAATTATTGTATTTTAGCTGAAAACACATCACAAAGTTAATAAAGCATTTTAAAATATTTGTATTTTCTTATATACCATGTAATTTCAAATAGAATAATACTTAAAGTATAGTTTACAATTGTATAATCTACTTATATGTATTAAAGAAATATGTTTAAGTTCAATCTTGGGGGCCTCATAGCCTAGCGGTCTTATTAAGTGGCAGCTAGGTGAGGGGTACCGGGTTCGATTCCCGGTTCGAGGGCAAGTTTTAATTTAATTTAAATTTGATCTCGGCCTTTGGGAGGGTTGTGCGGTACCGGGCGAGTGCCTAAACCGTACATGGAGGACATGGTCGAATTTCTAAGGCAAAAAGCATTTATAAAAGCAATATAAAAATCTTATACTTGACGCTGGCTAATGCACAAACCGTGCCAGAGCCATACAAAAAAAAGAAAAAAAAATTATCAATCTATAAGTAAACTTGATTATTTGTTTCAAAACATTTAAACTCAATGAATAATGTATATTTGATTAATACATATTATATTTGTGAATAAAACTGTTATACAACACAGTTAAATTATATTAAAAGTCTAACAAAACACATTGAAGTAGCTAGTATTGTATTAGTAACAGAAACTGCGCATTTGCATTTTTAAATAGTTCAAAACACTTTTATAATATCTATTGTTCAGAAAAGATTTAACGAAGCAAGCGAGCATTACATATTTCTACATAAAATGCATAATTTCAAACAATTTATAATAATCACAAGTTTCCTATTGTTTTTTGGGAGAATGAACACGTTGCCATGGGGCACAAGAATAACGCAAAAAGAGAATACTGGAGCTATAAATGAACAGGCAAGAATCTTTTTAGAAAATCACACAAACAACCTTTTCGGGAAGACGGGAAATATTCCATTTAACGAAGACAAATACTTATGGTCTAAGTTTAATTACATTCCGAATCAGTATGAACCAGCCTTGTCCGATAAAAAAAATGTCATACATAGAATTGGAGATGTGAGTGAAAATCGAAATGTAAGAACCATAGAAGATATACTAGGCACGTGGGAAGATATATTCAATAATAGTTTAATGGATAATATACTACCAACAATGCCAGTTCCACTTCCCCGAAGTGAAGATCACAGACAACCAAAGGATTCCAGCCTAAAAGACTGTGTGGTACCCGTTTATCTGAGCTGTATTCCAAAAATATCCTATGGTCCAATGAGCTAAAATTAAATAAAGCAGCAAACTATTAAAATAACAGTTTATAATATTTGCAAATAATATATGAATAATAATAAAAAGTGTTTTATTTTTGTTCTATGTATACTGAAAGTTTACTTGTAATTTTTTTTAGATATGACAGTTTTTTACTTATGGAAGTTAAATATAAATGTGATGTTGCGATCTTAATAAATAACAACATAATTTCAGTCTTAAAAGAAATAAAAAGCTAACTCATTCAAAGATAAACAAAATACAAAGAAGCAATAACATTTATAATAATAATCCCGATGTCGCGAGATTTCGTACTTTTTTTAAGATCAATCCTGATACGTAACATTACGAGATCTCGTGTATAATCTCTTCGATGAACCAGCGTATATCTGAGCGTCGAATACAACTGCAGCGTTGATTGAGATAAAGATATCTTGAAAAAGTTGAAATTTTCCATTTCTCTAGAAAATATATTTATCGTAAAGATCGAAATTAAAAATATAATAAAACGATTATATCGTCGGATTCCATTTTTTTATTAGAATTAACATGTTGCTTTTATAAAAACCAACACGACTCAAGTGTTTCTTTGTGATTAGATAGATAAGAGTCACTCATAAAAAAGAGATCGAGAGAGAATCTATAGAGATATATTGTACTTTTTTGTGATAGATTGTACTTTTTAACCCCACGAGATCTCGAACTAACGATCTTGACTCGACATTGCATTCCTTAAACATCATCAAAAGAGTTAAACAATAGACGCGCATGTGTGAATTCCATAGTCATTGAATTCTGTGGAACAATCAAAATCTAACATTTCGTCTTGTCTATTACATTCTTACCCAGTGTAATATATTTTTCAGATTACATAGATTGCCCACCCGGAGAACTTATGGGTACAAATTTACAATGCATCGGACGACGGAAAATTGTGCCAAGAAAGTTCCAATGGGATTATTATGACCGACGTGACGATTGAATTATAAAAATTGTATATTCTAATGATTTTATTAATACGATTATAAATTACTATATATATCTTTAGTTAATTTATATACAATCCTAACACATTGGTCGAATATTCTATCATTATTAAATCATTTACGAACCTATAAGAGAGAATTTTTGAAGTTTTACTTCAAAGTGTGAAAGAGTGAAATTTTACAATGCGCGCGCACCCGTGACACAAAATTAGGAGTGTGATTATAGCGTGCGCGAGCGAGATAGGAATAAGACAATCTACAAGTAAAAAGAAATAGAATATGCGTGAAGTTCGTATGCCAACAATTTTGAATGACCATAATGACATTTGTCATTTACCTTTTAAACAAATAAAGGAGTTTTAATTATTTTTCAAAGAAATTTAGCGATGCTTTTTGAATTATAATCAGAAGTGATTTAAATTGAATATTTAAACCAATACTAATTAATATTTGTGAAAAAACTGTGCTCATCAACCTTCCTAAGTGCTTCAATACAATTGAGGTTAACTATCCGTATGTATTATTATTATTATCGAGTAATGTTTTGATTAAAAAATTAACCACATTGTTTAATCAAAACATGTAATTTTTCTGATTTTATCTAGCAAATATAAGGAAAAGAGACAAAAAACAATTGATGAATCAGTGTAACTGGACTAAATTGAATACAAAAAAGAGTTTTCATCTTATCGCTGTGAAACATCAAAAACTGGAGGTGGAACAAAGCCAAACTATTTTTAATATTGCCAAAGAAGTATAACTTCTTACGCGCGTACATAAGTACACGGACCCTTTTTTTTTTTTTTTTTAAACCGAGGTGTTAAAAAATTTGGTAACGATGTGAAATAGAAGTACCCAAATTTGGGGTTGCGGGGGACGGGAGGGGGGACGGGTGTAGTAATCACCCCCCACAAATTTTGCGCTTAGGAAACCAAAAAAAAAATTTTTTTTTTTCGAAAATTACGAAATCTGAAAATGATCGCAAGAAATCAGTGTCTAGTATGTATATAAAGCCAAGTTTTAAAAAAATGCTAAAATGCTTGATTTCGAGTTTCAGTTGAACAGTTATTTAAAAAAAAAATTAATATACGGTTAGTATATTAATATTTATATAACCTAACCAATCTAAATAATATTTGTTTTTGTGGACAGCTCCGATCTAAATAGTAATTGTTTATTCAAGCCTCGGCTTCTCGGCGTCCTGGTCGCCTTCGGCGACCAAATATTCATATACTAACTCTAACCTAACCAATCTAAATAATATTTGTTTTTGTGGACAGCTCCGATCTAAATAGTAATTGTTTATTCAAGCCTCGGCTTCTCGGCGTCCTGGTCGCCTTCGGCGACCAAATATTCATATACTAACTCTAACCTAACCAATCTAAATAATATTTGTTTTTGTGGACAGCTCAGATCGAAATTTTCAGACAACTGCTTCTATTGAGCAGATAGCTTTTCAGACAACTGCTTCTATTGAGCAGCTTAGCTTAAAAGAATGTAGTGATACTTGCAGTAGCACTTCATTAAGTATTAATAATTTAAATTAGATAGTGTAACAATAGAGGCAAACTCTAGCAATAATTTAGTACAACTCAGCTCAACATGTAATATTACTAACAACAATTGTTTAAACTTGATGCATCAAAACATGCAAGGTATGTTGGGCAAAGAATTAGAATTGGAGTTGTTTTTAAAATCAAGTAAAATTGATTGGCTTAGAGAATGCCAAATCATCTTTAACTTTGATCAGCACCAAGTTGCAAGTTCGTTTTGCAGATTGTCGGCGATTCATGGGGGCTCTTTGATTATTGTTAATAAAAATTTAAAGTATAAAGAGCGTAATGACATCGTGTGTCTGTCTGTAGAACATTCTTTGGAAGTAGCCTGTATAGAGATTGAGAATTGCATTATTCTAAGTGTTTACAGACCACCAAGTGCATCTTACGATTTTTTTGAAGAAAAGTTGGAGGAAATTTTGTTTAAAGTTAGTTTTAAGAACAATAAGTATATTATTGTATGTGGTGACTTCAATATAAATTTATTAGAAAATACCTCCATTAGTAAAAAATTCAATCTGTTATTAAAATCTTACAATCTTGTTAACTTGTTTCTTGAGCCCACTAGAATTACAAGCTCCACTGCTACATGTATAGATAATGTATTTACAAATGCAGAGACAATGCAAACCTCAATTACAACTGATCTTAGCTCAGATCATTGTGGACAGTTAGTGGCGCTAAAATGTAAAGTGATGAAACAAGTAAATAAGACCAGTGTGTTTGTTCCAGTAAATAAAAAGCGAATGGTGAGATTTAGACATAATATAGGTAAACACCTACCTTTATTACCGGTAGGTACTACCGTTGATACACAATACAACAATCTAAGTGATTGTATTAATAAAGAGTTCAACACCATCTTTACCCCAAAGAAAGTCTCTCATTCGCAGTGTAAATCGTTTAGTGATTGGGCGACAGCGGGAATTTATAAAAGTAGACAACGGTTGTATGACCTTTACGCTGAAAAGTCATACAATCATAATGAAGAATTTATTCTTTATGTTCGAAATTATTCGAAATTATTTAAGAAAGTTTGTTACGCGGCCAAGTCCTTAAATATCAAAAACAAGATTAAAAATAGTACCAATAAAACTAAAATGACTTGGAAGATAATTGATAGTGAAACTGGAAGAGTCAGGGATCGCAATCAAGACATCGAACTATGTGTCGATAACACCATAATCAAATCTAACGAAGAGATAGCGATTGTTTTTGATAAGTACTTTTCTGACATTCCAATTTCGACTACTAAGTCTCTTGAATCATCTCCCGCCCTCGCTGAATCGCTGCTCAAAGATAATGTAAACGAGTGCAAGGTCAGTTTTACATTCCGACCCATTGGTGCCGACGATATAGTGAGGATATTTAGAACCATAGATATTAAGAACACTACCGATCTTTGGGGTATTTCTGTAAAAATTATTAGTAGCATAATTGATGTAATTGCTCCCCATCTAGCTATAATTTTCAACAATTGTATTAAAAGTGGCGAGTTTCCCGATCTAATGAAACATAGTAAAGTTATTCCATTATTTAAAGCAGGTAGTATGTCCGACCCCAGTAACTTTAGACCAATTTCCGTACTACCTACTTGTAGTAAAATATTTGAAAAAATTATATTAAATCAACTGGTAAGTCATTTTAACGTAAACAAATTATTACATAATAATCAGTTCGGTTTTACCAAGGGTCGCTCGACAGCCGATGCCGGTGTTGAGTTATATAGATATATAGTTAAGGCTTGGGAGGAGTCGCATGACGCTTTAGGTGTTTTCTGCGACTTATCCAAAGCATTTGATTGTGTCCAACACGAGACCTTAATCGGGAAACTCCGCCACTATGGCATCAATAATACCGCACTGAATCTTCTGACTTCCTATTTACACGGAAGAACTCAGAAGGTTGAAGTGAATGGTAAGAGGTCCTCTGGGTCGGCAGTAGATATGGGGTACCACAGGGCTCAATTCTTGGCCCTTTCCTCTTTCTTGTTTATATAAATGATCTACCTTTCATGGTAGAGAGAAAACATCAGATAGTTTTGTTTGCTGATGACACGTCCTTGATTTTTAAAATCAAACGACAAATAACAAATTTTGACGATGTGAACAATGCTCTGTCTTCGATTGTCCATTGGTTTAGTATGAATAACCTTCTACTTAATGCAAAAAAGACAAAATGCATTAAATTTTGTGCAAAAAATGCAAGGGTTATGGATACTAGACCAATTATAAACGGTGAGGAATTGAATCTGGATGATACAACTGTATTTCTCGGATTCAAAACTTCAGTGGTCCCCTCATATTAACGGATTGGCGAAGAGACTTAGTTCTGCAGCCTACGCGGTTAAAAAAATTCGCTCACTAACTGATGTCGATACAGCTAGACTTGTTTATTTTAGTTACTTTCATAGCTTAATGACTTATGGCTTATTATTATGGGGTCATGCTGCTGATGTCGAAACTATTTTCATCCTGCAGAAGAGGGCTATTCGTGCAATCTATAATTTAAAATGTAGGGAATCTCTTAGAGATAAATTCAAGGAAATTAATATACTTAACTTTCCCTCGCAATATATTTATGAAAATATTATGTATGTATACAAAAATAGTGATAAGTTTACTAGAATAGAACATACGCACAATGTTAATACACGGAACAAACGCAGGCTGCAATTTCCCCGTACTACACTATCTAAAGTTAGTAATTCTTTTTTGGGGAAAGGGATACTCTTCTTTAATAAAATCCCAGAGGCTCTTTTATCACTGCCTTTCAATAAATTTAAGAAATGTATTAAAGAAAAGCTGTGTAAAAAGGCTTACTATAAAGTCAACGATAATCTTGTTGATAAAAGGGCCTGGGACTAGTGCTAGACAGGCTACTTCTAATTAATTTGCGATATTTGTTTTAAATAAGTGTTGTTTGATGATTTGCTGTTTTAAAAGAGTACCGAGAGTTTTTTACGCCGGCTTTTTCTCTCGGCCTACACCCTCTGTCTTCTATGCCGATGAGTAGGGATGCCTTCAAATTTAATGACGTGGAATAAGTGATACATGTATCTTATGTTCCATAATAAACATATATTTTTTTTTTTTTTTAAATAGTAATTGTTTATTCAAGCCTCGGCTTCGGCGTCCTGGTCGCCTTCGGCGACCAAATATTCATATACTAACTCTAACCTAACCAATCTAAATAATATTTATTTTTGTGGACAGCTCCGATCTAAATAGTAATTGTTTATTCAAGCCTCGGCTTCTCGGCGTCCTGGTCGCCTTCGGCGACCAAATATTCATATACTAACTCTAACCTAACCAATCTAAATAATATTTGTTTTTGTGGACAGCTCCGGCGCTACGGGAAATGCAGCCCCTCCACCCTTGCTTAAAGCACAGGCATTTTATTCAAGCCTCCGCAACCTCGGCTTTTTGGTCGCCTCTGGCGACCAGCCTCAGCCGCCACAGCTTTCATAATGCCTGTGCTTTGTTACAGCGGGTGGGGACTGCTCTTCCTTCGCGCCTCCGATTATTTATATACACTCTAGGGGTAAGGCAGACAAGACCACGTGGATAGTGGGGTGCTCTGATTCGGTTTTGGGTACTATTTGAATAATTTTCGGAACCATACATTAATTAAAACATGAAGTTAATGTAATGTATGTACATTTGACAAGTAATGCTTAAATTAGGTTCAACTATAAAATTAACAAATGAGGAAATAATCGATTCGATTAGGTTCAACTTTAAAAATAACAAATGAGAAAATAATCGATCCGATTAATTTACCGAAAATGTCACATCACTTATAACCAATAGAAAACGACAATGACACATCACTTATAACCAATAGAAATCGAGAAAGTCACATCTCTTATAACCAATAGAAAAGTAGTTAGATAATGGCGGATTGTTTATAAATTTCAATACAATTGAGAAAAGTTAAAAAAAATTTTTTAAAATACTTTGACGCTTATCCTTAAGCTAAAATCACTTGGAGGTGTTCCAATCAAGGGTCCCCGAGACTCCTGCACAATCAGTATCATCAAATCCAGGTTCGTTTGACTCACACCCAACCCAAAAAATTTAAACTCAAAGTAACTTTATTCATATAGGACGATCGAAGTACACTTATGAACGTCAACAGAAAATATGTTAAATTGTTTCTATAGTTACATTTACTACCAGTTCGCAAATCAAGGGCGTCACTCTTTTTTTAGTTAGTTTAGTTTTAGCATTATTTTACGAGGCTGAGTAAAAACTACTCAAATAAAACAACATATACCAATCTTAGACCCTAGCTGACCAAGAACGGGACCTCAGCTTCCTGATTAGGAAAATCGTCACTTAATACTATAGGTACATTTATTTTGTGCTAAAGACTTCACTAAGTCTGTGCCGGTAGGATAGTATTTGTTGGAACAAACCGGGTCTCTTAGTAGTTGTAATTGTAAATTAATTTGTTATAAATGCATTTACTTATGATAATTGACATGATTATTACGACTTGTCTACTATCACTATGACTACTAGTAGAAATGGCTGGAGGAAGCAAAGAACACATCCAAATAGAAACTTCAGGAGGAAGGTTTCTGAACAAAACACCCATCTGACTTGTATGTTTTTATATTATGGAATTAAACTGGATTTATTATTATTATATTAAGATTTTTTTAATATATTATACTAATAGAAGCAAAAAAGGTTCAACCAATCATATTTCATTTCATAAAATGAAAGACCCATTTATAAAAAAATATCGATGACCGGTTACGAAAGATTTTATCAGGCAAAATTATTTATCCTGTACGATAATATTTTATCTTTAAATAAACATTAGGAGAACAGTCTATAAGGCGTAGTTGTGCAATATAAACATTTGATTTGCGTCAATAAATTCCCAGAACAACTACGTCGTTCAAGGGCCTGAGACTGCGTGGTTCCCGAACAGATTTGACGTAGTTTTTAAGTAAACAGATAGCTAAATTTTATATTTAAAAGGGCTGTAGTAAGCACTTCGAGTAGTAAGCTCAGTATACGTAACCAAATCACTGGTTTTCAATAATATTTTGAATAATTGTGTGTTTGTTGATTTTAAAATGAAGTACGCGTTTTGTGTTCTCATGATTGTGGTTCTTGTTGAAGGACGGTATTTTCATCCAAGCATCTCTACTGAAACTAAATCTGAGGACCTGGTGAGTTTTACATAACATTCTATACTGTTTCCCACAATTTAACAGGTGATTGAATCATAAATCCGCGTCATGCTTGTCAATAATATTGTTGCGTAAATTCATGTCAAATAGTCTTAATTTTATTCGAACAAACCATATTCGTTGCCACAAATTTTCGAATCGATCAGGTTCTTTTACGTTTCTGTGCAGCCATGAGGCCCATTATCCAAATTTCAAAATTAACTAAATAATGTTGTTTAATAAGAGCAGTGTTGGCCTAGTGGCTTCAGCGTGCGACTCTCATAGGTCGTAGGTTCGATCCCCGGCTGTGCACCAATCGACTTTCTTTCTATGTGTGCATTGAACTGCTCGAACGGTGAAGGAAAACATCGTGAGGAAACCGACATGTCTTAGACCCAAAAAGTCGACGGCGTGTATCAGGCACAGGAGGCTGATCACCTACTTGCCTATTAGATTTCAAAATGATCATGAAACAGATTCAGAAATCTGAGGCCAAGACCTAAAGAGCTTGTAACGCCACTGATTTGTTTTAAAATAATGTTTATTTCCAGGACATCTACCGCAATATGAAACCGAATCGCTTCGTTCCTATCAACAACGTGATGTCTTTCAAGATATATGATCCGTGTACGAACGGCCTCAAACGGGATGTAGTGGGCATATGTCGGGAAGTATGGGATTAGCCAAGATACAGAGATTATATAGTAGAATAAGAACTACTGGAAAACTCAGTTGTCAATGGCACACGTCAATTGGAAGTTACATACAAAAAAGATTAGTTTAATGTGCAGGCGAACGTAACATTTATGAAAAAGAAAAATTATAAAAACTGAAAAAAAAGTTACGTGTGAGAAAATCTGTGGATATTCAGATTTAATCTGTTATTCAGAATGAAAATATACTTATAACTATTATCGTAACTTCATCGAATTCGCGAGCCTGCAGAGCGGTCTAGTTGTTTAATCTATAAATAATATAATTACTGTAATTTTTTTAAGTGATTTTTAATGATTACAATTTCTTTATTATCTTGTTCATTAAATCAATATCAATCTAATTGCACGCTTACTCTTTCGTCTATTATATATATTCTATGTCAACTTGTAAAGTCATACTTTAGTTAAAACGGACTTATGACAGACATATTTTATGAATAACGTTTGTTTTCAATATTTGTATTTCAAAAACATACTGCTTAGTATATGGGCTGCGTAATAAAACATTTTGTATTTTGTTAAGATGTTTAAAATGATTTACATGAAAAATAGCTTTCGTCCTACTAAATTTTTATAATTAAAATTTTTTTAATTTTTTTTTATTTATAAAATTGTATAATACACCGATTTACAAGTATTAAAAACTATTAATTTAAGTTACGTCGCGTAATAAGCGTCGCACAGCCGATAATCGCTGTCCTCGTCTGACAAATGATGTTACGCGCTAACTCTCTTTCACTCTACCTTAAATATGTATTATCTTTAACAGCCAGTAGCCCTTATTTGCGGCCAGATTTAATTAAGCAACTTTATATGATAATTAATAGAAAAAAATTAGCTTCAATTTGACATATAATTAATAAAAATAGGTTATAAACGTATAAATTTATCGAAATCATACCTGTTTAGAGGTGCGGCCAGGTGCGCAACGGCACCCGTGATTTTTTAGAATCTTCATATTAATTACCGTGATGTAGACGTTATTTTATTTAAAAAATAAATGAACGAAATTTTTTACCAAAAATCAATTAAAAATAATGGCGGCCAAATTTTGATAGGCACCCTAGTAAATATATATTCTCTTAATAATTATAAATAAACATAAAAATTTGGTTTTAAACAAATAGTCGATGAGCACACCAATCCTGCAGCGGGATCTCGTACTATTACTTTTACCTCCTAAAAATGAAATTTTCTTATACTTTTTCATGTTTTAACTGCTAATTTATTTTCACCATTTCGAAAACATTTTTTGTTAGAATGCATGCTAAAACAGCGGTCAACAGACTTATTCTTTGTTACTTTCAAAACAGTATAATTGTATTTAGATTTTGTTTACGAAAAAAATATGTACTTAGAATTATGTTATATAAACAATGAAACAGGAGACATCTTTTAAATTTTAATAATAACACAAAAACATCACAGAAATACAATTTATCAGTTCCTTTTATCTAAAGTGATACATTATAGACAACTCAAAGTTTTACTTACATCCATAAAAACAAAATCACATCGACAAACAGTTATATCTGAGTCACACAAACAATTCATACACATCAATTTTAAATCAATACAAATTTTTATAATTGATTAATTTTCTCTAAATAAGAAAATGCTGTTTAGTGGATGAACTGAATATTTACTAGTAAATTTGGTAACCATTATAATTTACGTCATATGAGTGTTGCTGATGGCGAAAATTTTGCAATATTCACCCCCTTTAATAAAGTCGAAATCAAATACATAACACATTTACAAAAGCACTCTGTCTCTTTTTATCCCAATTAATAAACAATTTGACTGAAGGAAACAAAACCCTTTAGTTATAACGGTGCATTTTTTGTGAATCGGTCTTTGGTTTGACAGATGTAATATAAATAATAATACATTTCCGTTACGTTGAACTTATGAATTTGGGAAAGAAAATTTACATCACATAAGTGATGCTGGTGGCAGAGTGACGGCTCCATGACCTGACAATGGTGTGGGAAGGGTTGCAACACCGCGTATCCAGGCTCCGCGTTCACAGCAAAACGACTCGACATTGCTGAGCGCTCGCATGTATATTGTTGTTACACCCCCTAAAATATAACCTTATTCAAACTATTGTAATTTCTTAAATTTTAAACCCCTCTAATACGAGAACATCCCAAAATTTATAAGCAACCTTGATACGTATGGACTGTCCCATAACTTAGAAAACACTTTGTTTAATTATTGTAATTTAAAAAGAACTCATTATGATTTAGTTTCCAAGAAATTTAAGCACAAACTCAGGAAATTTTACTAATACACTTTCGTATTTTGATGTCGGTTAAAAGCAATATGGTTCGTTTCGCAACACGAGGTCTTGGATTCAAACTTTGGCTGTGTATTGTGTTCGAACTCTACCTGCTTAGAAATGTATATATATCTATATATTCAATTCTAAGTCTGAAAATATTTACTTTAAGAGCAGTGTCAATTACCTGAGAAATCGTGCATTCGAATCATGGCTCTGCACAAATGGGATTATCTTATCCCCTACCGAACTGATATCATATAAACGCCTGGGCAAAAAACCCTTTTGGTATAGAAAGTTTGGTATACACTAAATGGCGACATGTCGAGAGGTTCTTACCGATTATAATCAGCTGCGTGCCGAGGTAGGCGAGGGCGTGGCCATGTCTTGGTATTGACATCTCCGTCTCTTGTTTCCACTGCCTCTCTTTCCAGTCCCATACATCTATTGCACCTACACTACTTGGTGTTTTGTCCTGTAATTATTAAACTCATAAAAACCATGTGTTGTGTTTAACGCCGCAATGAGGCACGGTTAACACATTCCTGTCTCCTACATAGATTTTTCAGTACCTACTACATTTGTACCTACTCTTACAGTGGTACAAACAAACGTGGTATAAAATGTTATACCAAGAATAAACTAAGAATAAGCAAAATGTTAACTAATAAACCCGGAATAACTTAAACCTAGTATAACTTCGGCGTACTTCTTACTAGCGTTATTCCAGCCGCCATCCTTATTATTATTCTAACCTTTTTCTTTTATAAATGATTACTAAAGATAAGTTTATTAATAATGTTTAAGCAATAATAAAAGAAAATATTATTAATGCAGTGGCGTTACGACTATATACGGGTCTTAATGTCAGATTGCATCTGTCTCTCGATCAATCTTATTTTAAAGATGATCAGATCAATAGGTTCTATGTCAGACACAATATGTCGTTGATTTTTGATTTAATGATATACAGCGATGTTAGCCTTTACCATAATAGCAAGTGTAAATTGCGCACACAGAATGAAAATTCCATTATTACAACGCCGTGATTCGAACACACGACCTCAGGATTGAAGGTCGGACGCTTAACACACTATGCCAACACATGACATTGTTGTCTATTAATAAAACATTATATTATATAGAAATACCTTATCAGATATTTTTCCAGCTCCACCGATAATGTACAGCTTATCGTTCATAGAAAATAAAGTTGCGAAACATCTCGGAAAGCGCAAACTATGAATTTCTGTCCACCTAAACACAATGACAAAAATTCACCTTAGTTGACTATTTAAATTGTACAATACAATTATTCTATAAACACGTGATTACATATGACCCAATAAATTGGTATTGAGGAAAGATTCTACGTCGAGACTCATTAATGTCATATCCCGTATTTAGTAAAATGTCGTAAAATGTCGACAAGGAGAAGAAGGAGAAGAGGTCGCCCTAAATAAAGGTGGATAGACGAAATATAAGCGTTAGCAGGAAGGGAATGGAGAAAGAAAGCCATGGACAGAGATATTTGGAAATGGAGGTAGCCTTTACCCGCGGGAGGGGGGGCAGCGTTCCGATCACTGAAGGAAGTCAGGATATTAGGATAACAAGAAAAAATATATATATATTTGATATTTATAGGGGTCATAAGTCTCGTTTCTAAATCTAACACAAAGATATTCCTAGAGGCCCATTTATAAGAACCAATCTATAAAATTCCAACGTTTTTTATTACACGTCAAATACAGATACAAACAAAATCTAGATTCAAAAAGCAATGTTAATAAATGTTATACCCAAAAAGTCACAAACTACTAAATTATATTAGATAAATGCCATACTCATTAGTTTTATAGTTATAGCATTCGACGATCTTGCAGACAGGTCGTTTCTTCTCTCCAGTCATGCCACCTGCTACCCAAATATAATCCCTGTACTTGACAGTTGCAACGGCCATCCTGGCCACGCCCATTGACCGTACTTCACTCCACGATCCTGTCTTTGGATCGAACTTTTCCACTGATCTTAATACTCTGGAACATACATACACCAAAACATCTTTAACGTCTTAAACTATTTACTCGATGTTACGTGCTTTCAACATTCGTATTAGGCGAGAGTTGATGTTGAATATTATAAATTCGTGTTTATATTCGTTTAAAAAGTTATAGGAAATCGCGTTGTAGGAGTATTCTCGTAAAACCGTTTTTTTTAACAATTCAAAATCACCACGTATTTAATAAAGTTATTTAGGTTATTTTTATAAAAACATAATTAAAACTGGTGCAAAGGTACGCAAAACTAATTGTGGACTTGACAAATCATTATAAATTTCACACTACAGAAATAAAACTTGAGATATCTTCGGGGGAATCACCGCGTTATATGGACGATATCAAGTTATACGAAAACGCGTTATAGGGTTACAGCGCGTTACTGTATGTCTTATGTTATTTTTATTACGTTAAAAAAAAATCCTTAGTATTAAATCAAATCAATATTTAGACCAAAAATCATAAAGTATATACTTAGCTAACGAGTTCTTAAAGTTTCAACATTGAAAATTTCTTAAGAATTTGCCGGCGTCTTTGCACAGTTAATATTTTAAATAGAACAGGGAGCAGACGGGCAGAAGGCTCACCTGATGTTAAGTAATAACGCCGCCCATGGATCTATGCCAGAGGGCTCGGACGAACGCACTCGCGTTGCCAACCTTTTTAGAATTGGTAAGCTCTTTTCTTGAAGGACCCAAGTCCCATTATGAGCCTCTTACTATAAATTTGAATCAGTAACATGTTTGGAGTAGGTAGTAAAACCCCCTGACCCTACAAACATACCTGCCCTTTTTATCCTGCCCACCAATAGCGTATAGCGCCATTTTATGAACAACCAGCCCAAAATTCTTCCTCGGTATCGCAAGACCAGATTCGCTGAACCATGACCGAGTCACCGGCTCATAGCTCCATACAGTTGACACCACAACTGACTTCCCTCGTAAGTCATCTTCACGAGGATCTGCACCACCTTATCGTAGTAGCAGGATTTTTTTTATTATTATCAATATGTAATATTCGGGTTTCATTATGTCACATGTTCAAATCCGAATGTTGTGGCCGAAAATAAAAAAATGGTATTTCTGTAACTTACTGACGTGATAACGTTTAATAAATTAATGAACGCTGGCTACACGCACGAAAAATCACGACTCATTGTCCCGTTACGCTTATTGTACGCTTGCGCCGCATCTACCTCTCTTCCACTTGATTAACCTATGCGTCCGAGGATTCACTCCTTTGTATCCTTACAAAGTAGTGATAATTCAATAAAAATTATTCAATTTTATTCATAAAAGTATGCAATAATTTCATTTCACTGTTATGACGTTGGCACGCTTAACTATCGTCCGTAATCCGACTTTACAGTCAACCATTTTTTTTATTTCCCATGTCTAAAGCACTCCTTCGACTCGTGAATGGAATATTAGTGTTTAAATCACTTGAATTCTCATATCAAAAACTCCTTGGGCAACAATTTGTACAAAACTTACAAAACGTACAAAAACTTCTGAATTTCGTTAATTCTTTATTTAATTTTATTATGATTATAATTATTGGAATACAAATATATGTTTCATAAGCTTGAATATAAAGCTGTTAGTAGTAAATGTATACATACCGACTAGGAATACTCTCCCTCGAAGAAAGGCCACAGAATGATGATGTCTGGGTTCAGGAAGTTCCCCCACACTTTCCCAAACGTTTGTTACGGGATCAAACCTATATAATATTTCATACATGTATATTTCATAATAACTCAGAGCCCAAATCGTTATATATCTCGTTCCCAGGAAATTACAGAAGACCCAAAACTTATGAACAAACCCGAGCGTGACAATTGATTTATGCACTATTTTGATTGGTTGCTTATTAGTTTCACTTCTAGAAATTTCTAGAACCAAGCGGATAAATCTCGACTCATCTAATATATATAATTCTCGTGTCGCGGTGTTAGTAGTTAAACTCCTCCGAAACGGTTTGACCTATTCTCATGAAATTTTGTGTGCATATTGGGTATGTCTGAGAATCGGACGACATCTATTTTTCATCCCCCTAAATGTTAAAGGTAGTCCACCCCTCAATTTTTATTTTTAATTTTTAGATAAAAATATTTTTTTATGATACAGCATTAAAAATACATACAACCCCTAATTTTTACCCCTCTACGATCAACCCCTATTTTTAATTATAAATGATATACATGGCAAAACAAACGTTTGCCGAATCAGCTAGTAGAACTATAAATAAACCGTAATAAACCCCGCTTTTGAAAAACTTTTTTTTATTTCTTGTTGCTTGATACCTGCTTACCTATATATATCTTTTCCAGTGTTTCCGGCGACGCCATATGGTGTATGGGGGTCAATTCCACCAAATACCAGAACTGTCTCACGGTCCCAGTTGAATAGTGAACCATCTACTATATAGTTCTTGTTCGACGGGCCCAAGATGGATGTGGATAGCTTGTTCCTGTAAAATTACATTGTTCATATTTTTATTAATAATTATTTTACTGTCCACTCAAAGAAAAATATTGTTGGATACTAACTTTGAATCATTCTAGTTTTATTAGAATTTACTAGATGGCTCTGTGATCAATGTGTAGACATAATTTTAACAATGGTCAACACTGAATAGCGTGAACGTATTACTCAAACAGGTTAACTTAATTTAGCAATTCTACGAAAGACTTATTCATATAAAAAGAAATCATTAGTATGTTCTCAGTTTTTAATGAAAATATCTTGTAAAATTTGATTCCTAACGGTTATTTTAGCGTTAACTGCACATACGTCTGCATATTTTTAGTTATTGCCCACTATCATTTTAATTATTGTGATATATTAATATCTAGTTACACATAGAGTAATAGGTTGGAGATTGACAATTCGACAAGTTCTTCGATTTGGTCAAACTAACGTTTTAAGATATTCGCGTTTTTGTGATCAATTGTGTTTGTATTTAAAAATGGTTAGATGAATAACAGTCGAGTTAATTTCATAGAAGTATTAAAGGCTGCATTTGTAACAAGTATATTTCGATAATAACGATTATACATTCTTGTTTGTTTATTTTCTTTTATCTCAGATCGCCGCTTGTTTTTGCCACATCTAAGAACTAAATTTCATAATATGCATAAATATGTACAAACATATACATATATTCTTGCGCTTTGTTATGTTTGCTATGAGAAAGTCCTTATTATATATCCCAGTCAAAAGCAAAAGCGACTTCTCTACCTCTTTGACGCAATGTCGGAACCAATGGAGAGTGTTCAATATCTCAGCGGGAATGTAAATGCATTTTCCCCTTGGCTAATAATATAAAATACTTACATATTAGCTTTAGCGAGAGATTCCTTTGATTGATTAAAAAGTGACGCCTGTGGGCTGGAGATGATCTGAACTGAATTGAGTCGGTTTACGGCATTAGGTCGGGACACATTGTTTGTCTGTGGCCGTTGATCTACTGACTGCGAGTCTCTGTAAAATAGGTGAGATTACTAATTAAAAAGGAATGAATACAAACGTACCAGCGTGAACTAGAGTTTAACAGTTTAGTTTTAGAAGCCCATTCATCTTTAACCACTTTCTTTAAAACAAAATTTTCACTAAAGATTCAAAACTTTATACATTCACTAACAATCTTAAACAACATTTCAACTCGTCCTATGCTGAAACAGAATATATTATTATTGTGCAATAAAAGTTTAATTACAAAATGTATGTTTTATGTAGAAATTATTGTCAAGTATCGTTAACATGCCAAAAGGTAGAGACTGGCTGCCTACGACACAGGGAATCCTAGTGTGGCGGCTAGTACACTGTAATTTTTACCTAAATATCCTTTATAATATTATTTATTGTTTTATTTATTTCGTAATTAAATAATTAATTTAATAAAAAATTTATATAGAAAACAAACAATTAAGTCGGTACACTAAAAATATAGCCAAAGATGGAATACATAATATTTACAAAAGCGGGAAATACATTAAAAATTAATGCCTAAAAAGTAATAACTGCTGGCTGTGTTGTGTGATGGTGTAAGTGAGGGTATGTGGGGTATGTTTACGATGCAGGTGAATTTGCGCTATGTATAATAAAGATTTTTCTTTATTTTTTTCAGATGTTTTAATATAAATCGTATTTGTCAACTTAAGTATGTTTAAATAACACTTACTGAGACAAGACTAACTTACAAAATACGCAATATTTATAGAACAATCTAATACCTACAGTGAAAACTTCTGAACATCTAACAGTTAAGAGAAGATGTATTCGGAGAAGATATATTTATTTATTAAGTACCTCCTGTTTCCGGATAGAGCCGCAGTGGCAGCAGCTAAATAGCATGCTGCGACGCTATGCCGCTTCTGACTGGCCCGTCTTGTATCCTAGAAAATAAATTTTCTTTGTGAGACCCCTAGATTTTAGAGACACCCAGCCCTCAGAGTAGCAGTCCCACATATCTCCATCTCCTCACTCTATAGTATTGTACTTCGTGGTATGGTACAATAAGAAACATTTGCAGACGCAACGACAAAATCCATAAACGCTTGTTATTATAAAACTCGCGCGAAGATTGCGAGTTATTTTCCACTATTACAATATAATAGACTTTTATAAATAACCACAGAAATTCTTATCGGCTATTTGACAGGACTAAGTCTAAAATTAATAAAATTATGCTGCATCCGATGTCGAAGACTCAGGATATAAAAAAAGAAAATAAAACAAAAAGTAAATAGTGAAACACGTGTGCTCCACAGCATAATGCTGAGCCAGGGCAGTTACCACAAGGCACACACATTACACATTTAAATTTACCGTATTCCTTTTTTGATTATTATTTTGTTTCTTTCTTTGTGTGGGTTTCGTTAGTAATACATTTTATGTCTATGTCTATGTTACCCTAAGCCCTTAAGGATAACAAATTGCATACAGTAACTGTTGCGCTTGTTCCTGGTGTCTCACTTGTCTCGCTGGTCGAAGACACCAATTCCTCGGTCGAGTCTTTCTCTGGTGGTTCATGCACGTTGTTGGCCTGAAAGTCACTTTATAAGATTGTCTTGTGATACAGCTAAAATATAGTATTCGAATTACAACGCGAATATGAGCGACTTCTAAAAATCGAGCACATATTGTTAGTTATTTTCAAAAGTATTATTCAACTTGACTAGATATATATTAGTATTATGTTTGGTAACTGTTTACTTTAGCTCAAGATGTAGTAAATCAATCATGGTACACTGTTGCACAAGGGCCTAAGCCAAATGAACACAGGTTTTTACAAGTTACTATCTTGTAGAATACAAGAGTACAGAAAGATATTAGTGCGACTCATAGCCATGTGTTATACCTTTTCAGAATCCCTATTAAATGCGCCAAAACTTGTAATACAGGGTCACTTTTCGGTAGAGTATTTTTTTCACAGTGGGGTCCGCAGTAAACAAAAAGTTTTTGTTTGAAAAAAATGTATATCGTATAACTTAATATTATCTTCAATACACTCAATAAACAACTATAAATAGTATGTGTAACTCAAGAACTCATCAGTACCAATCTAGTGGATATTATAAAATTATTAACATTCGCCAAAGAAAAGAGTCTTATATCTAGTAAATATTATTATGTAAATAAACACTAGCAGATTAAACCTGATGCGCGCGGATTAGGAGAAATTATCCAACCTGTTTTAAAAGTGCAAAGAGAACTAACTACACTATTCCAGTCAGCCATAAGAAAATAAATTAAAGAAAATATAAACGAATAAAAAGAAAAAAATAATAAAAATAAATTACTATATTTTGTGGTTCAAAATTGTAGAGGTTAACTTGATGGTCCCTTTTCGTTGGCTTACGGTACAACAAGTGTTCTTGAATTTTGGGCTGGGCCTGTATTCAAATTTGGAACTGTTATTTATATAATTAGTTATACAATATACAGTAGTTAATAATATAGTGCAGCCTGTTAAGAGGATTTGTGTTGAATCAAATTTAAAATATTAATTAAACATTGTAATTCGTTAATTATATTCAATATTATTTTATTTTTATTTTTATTTTTGTAGAGGGGGCAAACGGGCAGGAGGCTCACCTGCTGTTAAGTGATATAGCCCATGGGCACTCTCAATGCCAGACGGCCGGCCGACCTTTTAAGGAATTGGTACGCTCTTTTCTTTAAGGACCATAAGTTGAATTGGTTTGACTATTGGTAAAAGCTAGGGCAGTGTTGTCCTCGTAGCGTGGTCGGAAGGTCGTGCGTTCGAATCACGGCTGTAAAGCCATGGATTTTACTATCTATTTGAGAAATAAACACTCGCTCCCAGGGTGACGGCAAACATTACAAGGAAACCTTTGTAAACTCAAAACCGACGAAATTCATCAGGCGCAGTAGTCTGATCAAAAAAACCCAAGATCCGAAGACCAGTGTTTAAAAAAAATGTAATTGTTCACTTATGAAACTCTTACTCACTCTCGTGTTAAATGATAGCTTTATAGAACACTGTAAGTAATTTATCAAAACATATAATGAAAAACTGAAATTCAAATTCCAAAAAAATTTAAGAAATTTTCGAATATAGGGCATGGGCTCCGCGTTCGGAAACACTGCCTTAGACCCAAAAAGTTGACAGCTTAAGTTAGTTACAGAACGATAATTAATTACCTACTTGCTTATTAAAAAATAACGATCTGAGGCCAACATCAACGGTTGTAGCATGTACAAAATCATGTATTTATACTTGGTATATATAAGTTATTGAAATAACAGTTGAATATTTAACTTAATTTCTGACAATCAACATAATTTGAAGTTCCATAGTAAATAAGATGAAACTCGATTGATCGGCTTGATCTTTAATCCGTGTCCTTAGTAAACTTTAAGTTAAACGTTCGTTAAAATACTACTAAATATTTTTTCTTTGATTATTGTTATTTTGTGTGTTTATGTGTGTGTGTTTTGTTTGTAATAAATTATATGTATATGTCTAGGTCTATGTCTATATAAACATAAAATTATAATCTCCTTTTAAAGTTCTAAAAACAATGGCTAACTAAAAAAATATATTTACATTCATGGATTGCGTCGGTTTCCTTTCCATTTCTGGGCTGTTTCTTGTTTCATGAGATCTTGTTACATCAATTGGTGTTCTATCAAAGGACTGTGTAGGACTTTTCTGTATCTAAAAACGATAAATTAATTACTTATAATAATAATACAGGGATAATATAATTTTATATATTATTTTTCCACCGCCGGAATAATCCCAAAATAGTTACACGAATATCTATCAAATTGATAGAAATCCCATTTTTTTATTTTGAATATGGAACACGTAGGTATAGTAAACACTTCTTTTGCGCCATTTCACATATTTTTTCGTGCTCATTATAAAATTCAATATGGAATAAATATGTTAATAAATATGTAGATATAATATAAAATTTATGTATAAGTAATGTTACTTCATTAAAAAAAATGCATTTTCATTTGTAACAGAACTTATGGCTGGACTTCTGTATAACTGAAAAAGTGATATTTTAAATTTGATTTGACTAAATAATGGCTGTACGCATAGTCCATTTTGTACATTAATTATCTATTTTAATGTAATGATTAGTTAACGATTGCTATACGTAGGTCCTTTTTCTCCAAGACGACTGCCAAAGTTCGAGGTCATGAAATGGCTCAAGGAAAAACCCAAAGCCTTGTACTTGATGATTACACTTAGTCTAAATAAATACTTATTTCACCTTCGCTTGGTTTCCAAAGAATTCGCTCATCGTTGGAAATTTCTCAGTATCAGTGAGCCCCATCAACACAGCCGGAGTGGGGAAATCTATTTTGGGTCTGCGCATTTCCATTTTGTCTTGATCTTTTCCTCGAAAACTGCCTGATGACGTTATACACATTTTACAATAAACTTACGACATATTTTATTATATAGATGTATTAAGGAACATAAAGGCGTGGAGATAAAAATCTCAAACTACAGAACCGATGACGACTCAACGATGTCCTAAGTAAATTTGAATTAGCTCAAGCGTCATCACGATATTACTTCCGTTTCCGAGAAATTTATGAACAAACATACAATTGCGAAATGTACACGTGCATGGAAGTTTATCAGTCATATTATGCAAATCCAATTAAGAATTGGTTAAAAATTAGAAAATATTTAAACAAGCGTAACATGTTTTTTATAATAGCGTTAAAATTTTAAAACTCATCAAAGAACTAAAGAGATTAAACTAAAGACACGTTTTAACTGTTATTATTTTGAATTTAAATATTGCCTATTTTTTCCTTAATCAACATCCAAATAAATTCATGATTGGGTTCAAACCCTTGGTGTAATATTACATTGCCATCTGTATTTCATGAGGATAGCAGTATACATTTACATATTTTTGAAGAGAAAACTTGTTACTACACTAATTTAAAGTTTATATACTGTATAATGCTACCTATCTCATTTTCTCCCTCGTTAAATTTTATGAATTTATGTGTCTGTCTCTTTTTACTGTCACTTTTTCGTTTCATCGACTTTCAAATCACAACGATGCTTCAGAAGTTTTCACTTCAAAAACACTCAAAATATTTACAAAGAAAGATAACACAAAAGAAAGAATACAATACAACAAAAAGCTAAGTAGGGTGCAGTGGTTATATCGCCTGACTCAGTTGACTCATGCTCCGCGGAACTCAACGAACTATGGATATGGCTATGCTAGAAATGAAGAGATCCGTTCAAGAACTAAAGTCTCCCACATCAGGTCGTATTAAATGGCAATGGGGCATAATGCCCGTAGAACTGATGGCGGATGGGGTAAAAATTTCCTGGATCCAGTCAGCAAAGCGTCGGCAAAGTAGACGACCTACCACAAGGTGGTCAGATGACATGCTCAGGGTGAAGAGAAGGCGTTGGATGTAAAACGCACGGAATCGGTCGTACTGGATGTCTCAATACTTGATTATGAGATGAGACTTTAAATAACTTTTGGCGTAACAATTTATAAAAGTTATCAAATGTTTTGGTATAAGATAGTATTCAATTTGGTACCCGGTGCGTCATCATTTCTCCGAGGTGGTTGCATCATGGACATCTGCTTGTACATCTGTTCCTTTGGCACCATAAACTGCTCTAGATATTTCAAAAACTCTTTGTATGTCACATGATTCTGTGGAGCGAAGACAGTTTTTTGAAACGATAAAAATTACGGACTTGACGGAATCAGATTGTTGTTGTTCAATCGAAATCGAAATTATTAATCATTATTAAATAGAACAAAATCGCGGTGTCTTTTGGTTTACATTCTCCTACTCCCGAGGTATGTAAGACTGGAATGACTTTTATATATACACTTGCGAACCTTCTGGCAATGTGAGTGACCACGGGCGGCGGTATTCCTTACCATCAGGTGAGCCTCCTGCCAGTTTGCCGCCTGTTATATAATCAAAGATGAAAAATAAAGATATTCGGGCTACACGCATCCAAAGTAGCGGAGTAAATAATTATATACATTTAAATATGTTTCACGGCTCGTCACAGGTAACTTTTTTATTATTTTTACTTGATTGTGGTGTCAGTGAACCGACTCTAGTATTTGATTAATAAATGGATATTTCTTTAAATATGTTTTTAACTCCTATATTGTCGCTGTAGAATGATAACCTCGTATGTCTAGAGAACCAAACATTACAGGAAACGAAAAAACTTTCATTTCGTCAATGTTTGTTAAAAAATTATTGTGTTTTTGTCCATAGTTTTAGATGGTAAAAAGGACTTATTTATTAATAACATAAATAAGTCCTTACTTCATGATTATACCAGTTAAATGACATAAGAGTTTTGACATACGAAGTTATCATTCTACAGTGATATGACGTATGAGGCAAATTCACGTCTGTTTTATCACTTTTTAAAGAAAATATCTTGCGTCCACTAAATCGAAACAATAATAATTTCGCAGTGAATTAAACCCAGAACTTCCAGGTACGCCACTGTACTTGTTTGGGAGCCTTGAATTCCAAGAATATCAAGTTTCCTCGTTTGTGTTTTATCAATTTTCGGAATTGAATTATTTGAACAAAACGTGCGTATTGCGTAGTGCGTAGTGCGTATTGATGACATAACATAATTTTGCATTTGTTGACAATATTCTAAAATAAATCACGAAAATGATAATACCGACCGTAAATAAATAACTGCCATACTAATATTAAATTAATAAAACTTTTTAATAAACTCCAATTTCCATTTTTTCCTCCATAGTGACAAATGGACATAAAAATCTCATGACATGCAATTTTAAAAATATAAAATTTATTTGTTTGGTCATAGGCAAGTATATGACCAGCCTTCCATGCCGTCGACTATGAGACTATGTTAAGATAAAGAAATGCCGGTTTCCTTACGATAGTTTTATTCACACGAGTTAGTGGTAAATGGGCACATAGACAGAAAGTCTATTGTTGAACAGCCGGAAACCGAACCTACGACCTTCAGGATGATGGTGGAACGCTGAAGCCACTAGGCCATCACCTCTCTATGTGTAGTGTAACCTATTATATTACTATTTATATAATGAATATAGACGATATTTTACAATTTGTATCTTATATATAAAAAAAAAAAAACCTTTTCCTCCCCTATCCAATTCCTCTCAACTGGTTCGGATAAGCCAAGAACATCGATCCAATGGTAATAATTCTTTGAATTGTTTCCATACCAATATTTTATAATCACGTAACTGGAATAATTAATTCACTATAAAAACGCAAGTTAGTAGCAAAACAAACATATGAAAACGTAATATTTGCTACTTATTTTTAGCACACCTTAAAAAAATAAAAATATGTTTATTCATTTGACACCAATTAATTATGTGTAAGATTTGGAAACCCTTTTAAGTACATTAATACCTGTGTCAGGGTTCCCAGGTAATTCATGACAAACAGTAATTTCCATAAAAATATACAATTTCTTCATTTCACATATTTTTTCAATTATTTTAGTTTTTTAACTGTTTTCAACACACCTGGGTGCATGAGTGCATCAGTGAGTGAGTGAGTGAGTGAGTGAGTGAGTGAGTGAGTGAGTGAGTGAAATGTGTAACTAATATTATGACACAGAAGCATCTCCAACACTGCGTAAGGTGTGTTCATAAGCCAGTCCTTTAATCCTAATTAACAAATACTGAATTTAAAATGTAGTCCCTCAAAATGAATAAAAAAAATGTAAAATATTTATAACAAATTCTTAAGTTATAACTTATTAGCGTTAGTGTAAATTCAACTGTATTACCAATATTTCTTTTTTAATTTTTGCTCTCAAACATCACACACGTTAAAATGAGGACAATCAGATACTTATGAAAGGATAAAAAGGATATCTGTGAAAATGACATGAAAACATAAGAACCAGACGCTAACCAGATCCATGTAACTTCCTCACAATCGTATTTATTTATTAGTTCCTACTCACGCTAAACCATCATCAACCAATTGCTGAACATCTGGTTCGTTAACAATTTCCAGTATCTCTGCATTGTCAGGGTTTCGTTTAATATCCACAAGTTGCCATGGAGATATCAGACCGAAGCGGACACATCTCATGACGTCTGTTGCGAACCGCTTTCGAGAGGTCCAGTCTCCGTACAACCACCTCACACCAGCCATCAAAACCTCTATTTCACTGAAAATAGATCATTAACTGTTTCTTGGTTTCAGAGTGTTTCAGACTGTCTGACTGATGAAGACCAAAAAATAAACATCTGGCACAGAAAGCTGAAAAGCTATTGTTCCAACAAGAATGTAAGTGCGTGCTCCTATTTCACCATGCTGATAGAGAATAAATCTTTGTTTTTATTTTATTTTATTATTATTTATTACTTAAGATGTCATGTGGAACATGGTGTAATGGTTGCAGCTCCTTACAAACGTTGTGTAAAAGAAAAAACTTGGCGACTAAAAAGAGTGGCGGAGAATTTATTGCCAGTTCTTCTCTTCCGTTCTACGCCCTTGATTTGAGAACAGGCAGTAAATGTAAAATTTAATGTATATTTCTTTTTTGATGTTCATAAGTGTACATTGTGTTAACTATATGAATAAATGAGTTTTGACTTTTTGAACACCTACTTGACTTTAAAAGACACATACAGAGAATTAATACTAGGATCGTATTATTTATAATATATGTTTTATATAGAACAGGGGGCAAACGGAAGGGTCCTCTGCAGTGGCGTAGCTAGATGACCAAGGGCCCTGGGGCAAATTAAAAAATGGGGCCCCACTGCTATGTAAACTGATTAGGTTTTATCAAATAAAAATATGAAATATACAAATACTTTAAAAATGCTAAGCTACTTATGCTCTTTTTTGTGCAGGTCAGGTAATAAAAATATCAGACAGTAACAACATAAATTACAATTAATACTTGGTGTAGGTTTGGCGAATAAACTGAAATAGAGAAGATTCAAGGGTTTATTATATAAAGGTCGGGCCTACCAACTGACTAAATAACAATTATATATATTTTTTAAATCCTAGCTTTAGTTTTCGCAAAAGTATCAATGACTTCGTTTAAATCCAGGCTTGATGCAGTTTTGTTTTCAATTGTTATCTAATTCGCGTTATACAATGAGCTGTAGCCGAAATCTTTAGATTTAACACGATTTATTGACTTTAACGGACATCAATATGAGTGGTAAAATCAAATAAAATTGAACCACTATATTAACCAGTAAAAAAGTTTATTGACATTAGCTAACTTACTTCTGATACAGCATGAATTTTTTAACCGTTCTCAAAAAAAAACGCACATCGATGAATAATTAAATGCACATATCACTATCCGTCAAAGTGACAACACTGCCAACCTACAGAAAGAATTTAGGGGAATTCCCTAAGCATAACTTTTGAATTTCCCTCAAATTAATGTCCTGATTAAAGTGGGGTTGCAACCTGTCATATTTATTTTGAAAATGGGAGAAATTTCCAAAAGTTCAGAACGATCGAGATTTCTGGTAAGGATTCAAGGGCCCCCTGAGCTTGAGGGCCCCGGGGCACTGCCCCGCCTAGCCCCTAGGTAGCTACGCCACTGGTCCTCTGGTGTTTAGTGATAAACCCATGGACAGTCTCAATGCCGAAGGGCTCGTAAGTTTTCGTTCTTTTAAGAATTGGTACGCTCGTTTCTTGAACGATCCTAAGTCGTATTGGCTCGGAAACACCTCGACGTGCAGCTGGTATAACGGCAATAATTATTATTTTAATTTTAACATAATTGGCCATTTCAAGTTCATTAAATTAGCTGCAATAAGTTTTTTTAGATGTACTAAATTAAATCAGAAGAACCTAATATAACAAATTATTTCTTCTGCTAATTTTAAACCAAATTAATTTATAAATTTTGTAATGACAAATTTAAGCAGTGCCCTAATGATGTCACATGCTTCGTGTCCCAAAATATACAAACCTTGCAACACAAATATAGTTGGACTTCAAAAACGTCATAAGTTCTTCTGGTTCCAGATCAAGAAAATCGCTAGAAGCTACTAGAGGCAGAAAGAATCTCTTTACTCGAGGTACCTGTAAGAGTATTATTTTAACGTAAGACAAAGAGAAAAGTTGGAAAATAAATGAAATTCAGTTTTATTGTTATTACAAAAGCTTAAATGTGAAATTGGACCCCAAGTTCTTTCTATTTCTCTGAAATTCTTTCGATAAAGAATCGAGTACTATTTGGTTGATGTAAAGTTTAGATTCAATATTAAAACAAAACCAGTGCCACTAAAAACTTTGATCGCGGAATCAGATATTGTTGTATGTTTTGTCATCATTTTTTTCTGATTTATCACCACCAGACGCCGTCAATTTTGGCTCAAAAGCATGCCGGTTTTCTCACGATGCTTCCCTTCACCGAGCGAGTGTTAAATGCGTATTATCTTTTGATGAAAGGGTTCGAACCTATGACGTCGCTTAAAGTCGTTTGCTCAAGCCACTAAGCGAACACTGCTCAGATTTCAGATAGATTTAGGTTTGTTGATAAGTCAAAACTAGAGGCTGAATTACATACAATGGGAACATATAGCACCCATATCATGTCATACAGTCATTTATTTCATTTTCAGAATATATAATACTATTGTCTTTGATTAACATAACCTTTACACAGCCACCGTGACCACGCACGCTGTAAAGCACGCGAAACGTCGGATAAATTTAAAATTATGTCAAATAGTTGTAAATTTATAATAATAAACATAACTTTAATCCGGTAAAAAGCGTTTTTCTTTAAATATATAATACTTAATTCGGTACCATATATTAAGTTTCTAGATCATCCAGAAGTAGGAATTTGATGAGTCAGCAATAAAAACCGCTTTCCAAATATTATTATTATATATACAAAGACATCCATGAACTAAATTTTAAATATTTGGCTGATAATACGTGCCGAATTCTATGTTATTAAATACTTTACTAACTGTTTAGGGGCCAGAAGAACCTCAAAATGGTGCATGTAACACACACACATCGCAAGTTGACTTGAAAAGAAACTAGTGACGCTACCTTCTAAAATTTAGGTTTATCTGTATCTATTTCGCGATCATTAGTTTTTACAAATAGACAAGTAGGTAGTGTGCATGACAATTGCCGTCGATTTGGATCTAAGGCCGCGCCCTCGCGATTTTTCCATAATGCAACCGACTGTTAAATACGCACACAAAAAGTACATTGGTGCACAGCCGTGGTTCGAATCTACGCCAACGCTGCTCTAGTCTCAGTCGAATCTAAAGTTATTATATTGTAATCCTTACCATAAGTTCCATTACGGGAGTCAAATGCTGTACTCTCGCTCCTCTGTATAAAACAAACGCTGAATCTTCATTAAAAATATTATCATTGGCAATAAAAGCCCAGCATTGATCTTCTAAATCTGTCTTGAAAAAAGGTTAAATTAAGTATTAAAAATATATTTGCAATTCGGCAAGCTTACCACATAACTTTAATAATAAATATTCTCTGCCGTCAGCTAGAGACGACACACAATTTCGATGTTGTTGTTTGACAGCGTTCATGTCGTAATGGAATTACGTGGTACTCAATATTAAAATATGGATAACTATTTGCTTGCAAGTTCAAAACTCACTTACAAATTCTTAAATATACACGGCCCATTAGTTAAAAAAGGGTCCGTGTACTTATGTACGCGCGTAAGAAGTTATACTTCTTTGGCAATATTAAAAATAGTTTGGCTTTGTTCCACCTCCAGTTTTTGATGTTTCACAGCGATAAGATGAAAACTCTTTTTTTGTATTCAATTTAGTGCAGTTACACTGATTCATCAATTGTTTTTTGTCTCTTTTCCTTATATTTGCTAGATAAAATCAGAAAAATTACATGTTTTGATTAAACAATGTGGTTAATTTTTTTATCAAAACATTACTCGATAATAATAATAATAATACATACGGATAGTTAACCTCAATTGTATTGAAGCACTTAGGAAGGTTGATGAGCACAGTTTTTTCACAAATATTAATTAGTATTGGTTTAAATATTCAATTTAAATCACTTCTGATTATAATTCAAAAAGCATCGCTAAATTTCTTTGAAAAAATAATTAAAACTCCTTTATTTGTTTAAAAGGTAAATGACAAATGTCATTATGGTCATTCAAAATTGTTGGCATACGAACTTCACGCATATTCTATTTCTTTTTACTTGTAGATTGTCTTATTCCTATCTCGCTCGCGCACGCTATAATCACACTCCTAATTTTGTGTCACGGGTGCGCGCGCATTGTAAAATTTCACTCTCATAAATTTTTCATAACGCGCCTAAAGAAGTATAACTTCAAAAAACATACCTTTAATTCCAAGATATTGACTTCCGGAAAATAAATCAAGAACATTTTCCCTTTTCAACAGCTTATTGCTCTCTAAGCCACTTACAGTCATCCACTCGTAAATTATTTGGAAAGCTGTTGGCTTTAGATTACTCTAAAAATTATTAAATTATTGTAATATAGTAGTTATCTACCAACACTGAGGTTACCACCTAAATGTTAAGAACATGTGTTCAATTGATTTTTTAAAAAGAGGTGAGATTCAGAACTTAGCAATATAACATTTGAATGTCACAATACAATACATGTTTGATGTACAGCGGTTTTCGCATCGGCGGTCACTCTCAAATCAGTCGTGAAGCAGTCTTCACCTTAGCAAGGCAATTCGCAAGGCCAATAAGAAAGTTGATGTCGTGTCACAAAAGAAGAATGTCGAACAGAACGGAATATTTTAGACATCACTTTATTTCTATAATTCTTAAACTGTATAAATGCCTATAAAAATTAATTAACGCTTTGCACCGTTTATATGGCTAAATGTTTATAAAACCTACAAATTGTTTAACTTTTAATCTGTGGTTAAAAGCTTGTGTCGATACAAGATATATATCTGTGGTAGCAAACGTCGTTTCGAAAAAACCTATTATACCATATACCTATTAATACGAAATTAAAATTACAATTGTCGTAGGATCTGTCAAAATATTTCCCCTCATTGCCATTGCCATTTATAAAACATTGTAAGCTGAGTTACGTCTTAAAATAAATAATTACGACTGGAAATATATGTAGGTGGTAGCTATAAATTTTAATAACGTGTTGTTAGAATGGAATAGTTGATACGGATAGCTTCCCGCAACATCACGCTTGTGGAATTCGTGGATTTTGGCAAGATTTGCGAAAATATATATCATACTGTATAAATCCTTTCCACATTAGTGCACAAATTTGTTTGATAGTTTTTTAGTTCATCACGTTACACACATACGCAGGACTTGATTTAGTAAATATTAAAGACAAACACTTGACACGTCACTTACAATAGGTAATTCAATTTCCCGTTGATGATTCTTGCTAAATAATGACGAATAAATTTCAAGTACAATGCGATGACAATGGAACTCTTCATTGCCGATATGGACGATACAATCGGTGTTTCTAGAAATTTAAAATATTGGTAATCATTTGGTAGTTTGCAGATTGCGTCCGATGGTTTATCATTCTATATCGTTACAATATCTTTGGGTAAACAATACGTGCATTCGAATATTATAAATAGTAGATTTTTATAATGAAAACCAAGGAAATATCAACCTTTTGATGAAATAAAATGAATCTAATGCTTCATTGGCGTGTTTTGGTATTGCAAATTAAATAGTAACAAAAAAATAAATAAGAGCGTAAAATAATATAAGAGCCTTTCCTACAATTTTGTCTCCTTTGGAGTAGAGACTCTTGGGCCGTGGGGTTCAAGTGCACAGACGCTAATTAAATATTTAAGTAGGCGCCTTGAAGATAGTACCCCGGAGCTGGTGCTTTCCTCGCTCAAAGTATCGCAGTACAGCGAGCAAATTTTGCCAGCGTTAAAGTTACAATGTCACAGAGACAATACTTTTTAAATTTGTTTTAATTTTCATTTATTTTTAGTTATTATTATGATTAATTAACATTACCTTTCGAGTAGAAAAATACTAAATAAAAACGTAACGAATACTCCTATACAATATATTAATAAAATAGATTTCAATTTTCCAGTATTCCTGCAAAAACCCGTTTTGTCAATTTGACAAAATACTTACATATTATTCAAAATCCTTCTATAGAACTCCTGAAACAAATCCTGTTTCTTCGGCAATTGCACACAAGTCCAATCTACCGGTTCGGTCTGTCCATATCCAAGACTGGATAGATTACATCCTTCTTGTATTTTAGATTTTTCCTTTATATTCCTGTCCATTACCGTTTTAACATGACACACAGTAGGACTCGTTTTGTGGCCATATTGCAGATGTGGTTCTGGGTGATTCTTGTACTGTGAAATTTCAGTAATTAAATTGTTTTTTTAATAAAAATTGTGAGGAAATTTTAAAATTGTTTTAGAGGAAATGGTGTTATCAATATCGGAGACTTGGCACATATCATGACCTCCAAAACGCTATATGATACTATACGCTAATATAAACATTGCATTAAAGTCTGGAAGACTCAGCTTTGTCTACAACCGTCTTACTAAATCGTCTCTGAATCTCAGATTATAACCCAATTTTAGACACTTAAATATATGTCCGATTTCACGTTCGTGCAATAGTTTCTAAATCGTTGCTTGGTACCCAAACACAACCTTTTTATTCAGAAATATTTCCTTAGAAGAAATAGAAATCAGAACACAAACCTAACCATAAAATTATTAGCTACAAATACAATATTTTGTCTTTATCATTCCCGTGTAACAATGAAAATGAATGAAAGTGATAAAATATCAATGAACAATACACACTCACTTACATTGGCATTTATAATTTTGTTATACTCATTATTTAAGTCTTCGCCATTTCCTTCAATTTTCACTTTCACCTTTGCTTGTGTTGGATCAGCCAGAAGGACTCCAACGGTTGACGACTGAAATACTACCTACATTTTGTTAAAAAAGTACCCTTACTTTAATAATTAATAGTAATAATCTGGCTGCAATTAGATAAGAAACTTTTTATATGAATTAAGAAATATAGTATAATGAAAATTCCCTTCTTCAAGAATTTTTCTAAAGACCCTTTATCCTGGGGCAACCAGAAACAATAACTGCTTTGCCAGGAGTCAAACTCAAACTATCTTTATTCATATAGGTAAACAAGTACACTTATGAACGTCAAAAAGAAGTTAAATCAATTGTAAATTTACATTTACTACCAGTTCGCAAGTCAAGGGCGTATAGCGAAAGCAGAAACTTTCCGCCACTCTTTTTAATCGCTAAGTTTTGAGTCATACAAATTGTTTGAACTGGAGCAAATCAATCTAAAGGATTAGGATCATTTAAGTATTTTTTTTATAAATAGCTTTGTTCATTAATTTACGTTTAACGAGGGCTTTGAATTTATTTAGTGATAATTCTCTAATTACGCTTGGGAGTTTTTTGTAAAAACGAATACAATTTCCATATAAGGAGTGGTTAATCTTTTGGAGCCTGGTTGGTCGTACACTCAAATAAGTTCTGTTTCGCGTATTATACTGGTGAAAGTCACCATTTGTTTTAAAATCGTTTATATTTTTTTGTACATACAAGGCTTCAAGAATATATATATATATATAGTCGAATCTGTGATCTGTCTAAGTTAAATACTAAGGCACAGAGGAGGTCCTCACTCTCAACTGATGAACTGATACGCCTGCAACTGCAAACTCACACTTAGAAGGCTCGCGAGCGCGTTGCCTGTCTTTTAAGAATCGTTATGCTCGCTACTTACTTGATTAGATTGCACTTTTAAATTTCCACTTGGTGTTGGTTTGAAAGGAAATGTTGCATTTTTCTGATGTAATGTATCATTTGAACTGCATGTACTACAAAAACAATTTATGTTACAATAATTAAATAAAATAAGTTTATCTACGCTATCTACTTAAAGTCTTGATGTGGACGAGAAACCCACGTCTTCTCTAAGAACTCGGTTTCTTTGTACCAAAGGGATATAGGTTGTTTGCGATACCAAGGGCCAGAACCAGTCTACACAGATTCTCATTAACAAAGACTTTGCGCTTATTGAATGCTGTCACCGACACTCACCATTATATGTTCGCAGAGTGAGTTCACAGTAGCGATACTGTGTATATTATGTATGTATTTAAAAACAAGTGGCGCTACAACCTTTTAAGGTCTGGGCCTCAGATATTTTGTATCTGTTTCATGATCATTTGTCAATGTAATAGGTAAGTAGGTGATCGGCCTCCTTTCCTTCATCGAGCGAATTTTAAAAGCGCACAAAGACAGAAATTCCATTGTTTCATAGCCAGGGATCGAACCTACGACCTCGAGAATGAGACTCGACGCTGAAGCCACTAGGCCAACACTGCTCTGTATATGTATTAAATATTATTTTATATTTGTATGTATGTATTTGTGTAAACAAATAAATCTTTATCACTTATGGTCTAAAATTTTTTACGTTTCTTTGATCATTTTCTTGGTATCAACCTTATCCCGGAAAGATCAACACAGAAAGTTCGTATCCATTTTTGGCACAAGGAATGTTGGTTTCCTAACGATGTTTTCCTTCGCCGTTTAAGTAAGTTTTAATTTCGTATAGGAAAATCAATTTTATCAGCGATTTGAAGACCGTTGCTAGTCACTACCATAATACAGCCCTGCGAAAAGGTGGGAGCTTGTAGTTTATTGTTTATCAGAATGTCAAATCATAAAATGACTGCTTCACGACTGATTTGAGAGCGACCGCCGATGCGAAAACCGCTGTGTGAGTTCGAAAAGTGAGTTACAGAATCGCAGGGCTGCTTACTGAATATAGAATTATGTATGGATATTAAGGTAACCTCGACATATCAGTTTCAGTTGGCTCTCCATAAGTGTAATCCAATCGTGATGCATACAATTCCGGATTCATGTCGATCTTTCTTTTCATTTTCCTTCAAAAATATAATATTAAATATTAATTGTCGAACTATAACATGGCAACAGAATACAATGTTTATGCATAACATATGGAAGGTCATTTTCGCCTGCTTAGAGATATACATATTTATTTACTTTCGTTTGACATTTTGACTTTGTTTTTTGATTTACTCACGAGTTTCTCTAATATTTGCGAAGTGCTTAAATAGTTTTTGATGAAATAATTTTGTATACTTAAACAATATTATCATATACATAAGATTGTGTTTTGTTGCCAGACATTTATATAGGTAGTTTATAATGAATAAAATAAAAAATTTAAAGATAAAAATCTAGTGTTAGTAATTGCTAGGTGTTAATTCAAATTGTAATTTTATAATGCCATAAGTCATACTTTTCTAAAATAGGAACAGGCTCTATGACACATATGTTATTATGTTGGTCAAATTATCACCTTCAATATGAATTTCGCTACAAAACGTGAAAGAAACTATCAATAACACATGACTTGACAAATGATATAAAGTGTTAAACGCACGGGAACTAATAAATAAAATATAAATAAATAAATCAGTGGCGCTACAACCTATTTAGGTCTTCGCCTCAGATTTCTGAATCTGTTTCATGATCATTTTTAAATCTAATAGGCAAGTAGTAGGTGATCGGCCTTTCGTGCCTGACACACGCCGTCGACTTTTTGGGTCTAAGACATGTCGGTTTCCTCACGATGTTTTTCTTCACCGTTCGAGCAAATGTTAAATGCGCACATAGAAAGAATGTCCATTGGTGCACAGCCGGTATCGAACCTACGACCTCAGGTATGAGAGTCGCACGCTAAAGCCACTAGGCCAACACTGCTCGGGAACTTATACTTTTCATACATTTTACAAGCTTTTTAGCTTTTAATCAAACCATAATTTTTATATATATGTAACACAATGAAACACCAATAAAAAAAATAATGAAAAAATCAACAAAACAGACAAGAAACTTAATAGCTAAGTTTTCTGTTTTACATTGCCTCAAGAACGCAAGACCGATGATGCAAAAAGTACTGGAGACCGAAACCAGTGGGCGAAGCCTTGGACGGCCCCCCACTAAGTAAATAGCAAATTAAAAAACTACTTTTATATGCAGTTGTCGCGCTCCTAAACAAGACTGCTATGGTTACATTAATACACCAATACCATCACCATACTAGAAAACCACACCGGTTTTCTAATGTAACTTATTATGATTGTATTATATTTTTTTGTAAAATAAAGATATTTAAAAAAAAAAGTGGCCAGATGACCTGCCGAGGTTGAAGAGAACCCCAAGAGAAATTTAGGGGAAAGGCCTATGTCCAGCTGTGAATGTCACTTATATGTGAGTGATACTTATACTTACTTCCCTTTGAAATTCCAGGACATGTGTGGTGTCTCAATCAAACATCTAGAATATCTCTCCAATGTATCGCCCGAACAATCGTAGTCTATATAGTCCGTTGGGTACAGGCAGCTATTTTTATTATTAAAATAATCGAAAGCTGAAACGTTTGTACAGTTTACAAGTTAATATTATATGTACAACAGTATAATATATATGGATTTACCCTAGTTAAGTTCGGTGGCCATTGTTGGAGGGATGTTCAAATAAATGAAACTTTGTTAGAAACTGGGTGTCTCTGGCTTTAATCGTTTAAAACATGAGCTTATAACTAACATAAAATTAGGGGTAGCGACGCTGGATTAACAAAAAACTAACTTGGCTTATATATATATATAAGGGTTCTTAAGTCTGTTCTGTTACCTATAAAGAATAAAGGTGTAGTCGATCTATTGGAGATTATCGGAAACGAGAATGTTATATTAAAATTTATGAGTGTTAGAAAAACAAAAGGGCTCATTTTGGCTCCGTGTGCAATGATTGCTATTTGGTTTGCCCTTCTAATTATTAAATAAAATATATATATATGTAACTTAACTTATGTTAGGTTACCTAACTCACGGCTCGGTTTTTTTTTATATTTCGGAAATATATATAATCCAATAATGTGATTTTAAATCGATCCAATAATTTCCTAGTTTATTAGTTACATTAATACAATAAATTACTATTGAGCAGTGTTGCCTTAGTGGCTTTTCTCAGTGACTCTCATCCCTGAGGTCGTATGTTCGATCCCCAGCTGGAATGGAATTTATTTCTATGTGCGTATTTAACATACGTTCGAACGATGAAGGAAAACATCGTGTGGAAACCGGCTTGCCTTAGTCCCAAAAACGTCGTCGTTTTCGGCGTGTGTCAGACACAGGAGGCTGATTACCTACTTGCCTATTAGATTGACAAATTATCATGAAACAGAAGAAGAAATCAGAGGCCCAGCCTTGCGATTCTGTAACTCACTTTTCGATCTATGCAGATCTAAAAAGGTTGTAGCGCCACTGATTTATTTTTATTTATTTAAATTACGTTTGAAACCCGTATTTAGTAACCCATTAATCTTTAATCATAGATTAATAACTATATATCTAACGAACATTGTAACAAAGTAAAGATATAATGCTTCCTAAGGAAAAGGACAGTGAAATACATTGGTAGGATCCTGTTGTATGGTTAACTTGTCAACAACTTCTTTGACCTTCCCCTATACTTGGACTATCGGAGATAAGAGATAATCGCCAGCAAACACTCCAGTTTTCTAATATATTTAAAAAAGTCACTTACAATAATCACTCGTTTTGGTTAAATCGGATAAAGAATTGCTTCTATGAATCTTTGGTCTTATAATTATTTGATAATGTTCGTGAACTTGTCTAAAGTGTTTATGTCTTCGCCTTATTTCGCTACAACTTCTGAAAATTATATAGTTTGAAACAATTATTGTGTGTCAGACAGTGTATATTTGTGACATGTTCAAGCTAATGTTATTGAAAGCGCATTTTTTGTTTAGAATAGAGGGCAAAGCGCAGGGAGGTCACCTGATGTTAAAACCTCTTTGAACGGCCAAGCTTCGCGAGTGCGTTGCCGGCCTTTTAGTACGCTCTATTCTTAGTTTTTATTTGGCAAACGTTCACGAAAAAAGGTTTCGATTCGTAAGAATTGTTCGTATTTTGAACCTAGAAAATAGCGCTATTTGTTCATGTTTTTGACATGTATAAATACTGCTCATGTTCCAATTGGGGTAGTAATTAGCTATATTAGAATTTGATGTAAGAAAATATACCAAAAATATATTTACTTTTGAAAATTACATCTAGTACTCTTCCTCTTTACATTTGAAATATCGTCAGTGCCGTTTATCTGAAAAAAAAAAATCGGTTGTCTGTAAAGTCGGTTTACTGACGATAGTTGAACGTGACAACGTCATAAAAAAATATTGATGGGATGGTTGCATTTTTCAAAAAAAAAAATTAAATTTTATTTGTTTGATAGGTATTTTGTATGGATATAGAGAAGGAGGTAAATGGAAATCACAATTGAATTGATCAAGTTACATTTATTTGTACGCATAAATACAATTATGTCAATTTTAAATGGAACGCCTCAGAGCGAGGTAACGACTCAGAGCGAGGTAACGCCTCAGAGAGAGGTAACGCCTCAGAGCGAGGTAACGCCGCATGAGTCATGTTTTTTCGTGCGTGCAGCCGGCTCCATCGAATTATAAGACGTTGTCACGTCAAAAACAGATAATTGTTATCAGTTAGTTAAAACCTATATGGGGCTAGGCTAGTGCGTTAGACGCTTCTGGAACACGTGAATCTTTCAAAATCAGACTCACTCGTACGAAAATATCTAGGAGAAACATTAAACACAAAAATCGATACGGCACAGATGGCTCACCAACTACTTGCCTATAAAAAATATCTAAATCAGAAACCAATCTAAAGAGACTTGATATTTTATAAACGTACCTTTTCTAAACTGACACTCTTTTGCATTTCAAATTCATCGAAAGAGTAATATAAAAACATATAACATAATGTAGTAAGAATGTTTTTTAATGAAACTAAAAGAGCCCTAACCTCGTGTAAAATTTTTGACAGATTGAAGTTTTCGCGTAACTCTGTTCATGTCAAATGATTCCAAAAGGTTTTATATATTTATTCTTTTTAAACGACGTCAAACACGAAGGAGGCTTAATACGTATTTCGAGTTTTGAAACTGTAAAAAAAACGTAGATTTTTACGTTTCCGTTGTTATGAGAAATTAAGAAGTCCGTTTGTAATGAATGTTTATTATTATTATTAAAGCTTTAGCAATTTACTCGTACAATATTTTTTTATTTTACATACATTACGTTAGTATAAGTTCTAAAAATAAAGTTTAGTTTGTTGTTTCAAGTGTCCGTCTTTTATCATATTCATATAAATGAATGTTTATTGATACTTAAAGTTTAACTGTTCATATGTATTTATTTAATTACCAGTAGTGTCATTTATTTACCCCCCAAGTCCTGAGCTAGACCATGGGTGTACTAGTGGCGTCATTTATTTACACCCCAAGTCCTGAGCTAGAACATGGGTGTACTAGTGGCGTCATCTATTTACCCCCCAAGTCCTGAGCTAGAACATGGGTGTACTAGTGGCGTCATCTATTTACCCCCTAAGTCCTGAGCTAGACCATGGGTGTACTAGTGGCGTCTGTTATTTACCCCCCAAGTCCTGAGCTAGACCATGGGTGACCTGGTCCCAAGTCCTGGAGCATGAGTGTACAGGCCAGGACAAGGTCTGTGTATTTTTAATTGAAACTAAAATTAGTTTACTTTAGTAATTCACTATTCGACCACACACATCATAATGTCAGTTCTATAGTTTTGTATCCCGGCAATAGGGTTATAGATACCGGCAAACTTCTTGAGCATTAAACAAGGGTGTGGGGGAAAGTTTGCGCATGGTACACATTCGAGCAAAAAAAGGGTCTAACTATTTTATTTATCTGTAGAATACTTTTTACGTAAATAACTTTTAAAAATATGTAGTTAGTTTTAATTTTTGGAGATTGTTAGCGTATATCAGATATTATTGTGAGTTGTTAAATATAATTTAAGGTAAGGTAAGGTAAGGTAAGGTAGTAAACCTTCTAAATTATGATAACAAGAAATGAAAACCGGCCAAGTGCGATTTAAACCATGCCAAAAAAAATGTAATAATATATTTATTTATGTACTTATTAATAATACATCCCAGCCTATATATGTCACACAATGTACTTATGTACGTATCTGTAACCCTGTACCTTATTGACGGGTCTTTGGAGCGGTTCAATTCCACAAAAAACATTATTCAACAAAGAAATTATTTTAATATTGAAGTGAAATGAATTCCGTTATGCAATTTAACGTTAAGGCAAGCGAAACTTATTGTAATTCTATATATTATATTATGCATCAATGAACAATGAAATAATCTTATTTTAATGTTGTTCTTAGCTATATATTGCTACCATTCGGTTGTTAACATCAGTTCTCGAGAAGGCAGTACTGACAGTAAGAGCGTTTATATTCTATATTATAGATTAGTTTTTTGAAATATTTCAGAAAAATTGCACTATTTTAACTAAAGCACTCTTCTGTCATAGTGTAATCACAATTCGCAGGAAAAGATGAAAGAGTTAAAAGAGTGCCATTGGACTGATCTAGTTTTTTAGATAAGACTTGTTGCGGGGCCAATGACAGATAAAAAATCAATAAAAATATTTTTTTTTAAAGTACACAATGGTTCACCTTTTTTAAATACTACCAACAGGTTGGTTACGATTTACTTTCCAACTTAAACATAATAAACAATTTTTGTGTTCTGTTCTAAAGAGAACTGACCGTCAATAAAATGTTGCTTCTATGAAGCAAAAATTTGCAGATGTCGAAAATTGGCTCCAACTAAAAAATCGTATTTTAAAACAAAATCTTAATTACTCCCTAAAACGTAAACAGCGTACCAATTCTTAAATGGCCCGTAACGCAGTAGCGACCCTGCTGGAATTGGGATTGTTTTTTTTAATATAAAACAGGAGGCAAACGGGCTCACCTGATGGACACTCTCAAAGCCAATCGCGAATGCGTTAGCGGCTTTTAAGATTGTCCATGGGCAGGCGGTATCACTTAACATCGGATGGCTCATCTCGTTCTTCATTCTACGCGTTTAGCACCTGTATAAAGTTATATATCATCCTTTTGTGTGTACGGTTTAGGCACTCGCCCGGTACCGCACACCCCTCCCAAAGGCCGAGAACAAATTTAAATTAAATTAAAACTTGCCCTCGAACTGGGAATCGAACCCGGTACCCCTCACCTAGCTGCCACTTAATAAGACCGCTAGGCTATGAGGCCCCTCTAGCTTTTGTTTACGTTTATTTCAGCTGTCAGCATTTCTATGGCGTCATCTAGTACTATTCACAACCAAATGCATTATAGACAGAATAGAAAACTAATTTTTAGTCATTTATTTAACATTTATTTTTATAACTTAATACATATTATTAGTTATAACACGTTATATTAATTTTTAACAACAAGTTTTTTTATACACCAACTCATACTTTTACTCTTCCTCGGTACTTACTGGCACCCTGGCTTGCCTGCTCACGCCCACTGCTAAGCTATCCTAGTCTAACTATCCTATCCTAGAATAAATTGACGGCATATGTCAGCCACAGACGCCTAATCTTACCTACTTGCCTAAAGAAAAATTAACAAGGATATTACAAAAATCGTTGTATATAATTAATTATACAGTTTATTGCAATAAATTTATTTAATTTTTTAAACATTTCTTAATTTCTTAGTAATGGCTGATAAAGAGACACAATCACCAAAGTCCGGTGAAGATGCGAAGCCAAAGGACGAGGCTCCTACTGCAGACAATGAGAAGAAATTGAATAACCAAGACGGTATCATTGATACTCCTGTCAAATGTCCATCTGGGTATGCGAAGGACCAGGAAGGAAAATGCCGTCAAGTTTGGTGAAGAAGATGTTATTTTTCTCTTCTTTTTATGTATCAAATAATTTTCTATATTACTTAATTGTAAAAGGGTTAGTCATATTGCAATAAATATATAATGGGTTATGTTTGAAATTTTTTTTTCTTCTTCTCTCCATTGGTTTACAATGAGGCGAAACCATTTAGGTTGAAATTAGTGAAGAATGGATCCGTGTGTTCTGGGCAGCCAGTCTCTTCCTTTTGACATGTTAACGGTACTGGATAATAATATCTATATGACACTAACATTTAACTATTTTGTTTATTTATAATAAATAAATAATCATTTCGTAATCCTACGCCTAACAAAATAAATATATAATAATGGGTGGCGCAAAAGTACTGGCACTAAAGAAAATTTGTTTATTTTTTTTATATGACATTTCCTGTCATTCTGTTGTTGAAAACTGTGTAGTGAACAAATGTAAAATACACTGAAAAAAAACACCGACCGTTTTACTCCCCAAGAATGTGGAATAATCGATGCTGTGCGCGAAGATGTGGAAGAGTGTCCTGAAACATCAACGAGGCGACGTGCCACGCAATTGGGCATTTCCAGACGGACCCTGCAGCCTATTTTGGTGAAAGACTAAAGGGGCGTTCCCACGAGGCGTTAATCACGACAGTCAACCACGCTTTTGTGAAATACACTTCTGTGTGAACGCATAGGCGTTAAACTTGCTTTCGTGAGGAACGGCGCACGACACAAGCGTGGATAGATCAAACGTGTTTGATTTTCAGTCGTGATATACCGTTCGTGAAGCCAAGATGTCGTCACAACAACGTGGAATTAAGTTTAACGACAGTGAAACTACGCGTTTTTTGGAGTTATATTCTATGGAAAAGGTGTTATATGATCCAAGTTTGGAGGAATACCGTGATAGAGATTTACGTGCCGCCGCAGCTAAGAGAATAAGTCATGAATGAACGTCTTTTTTTTCGTTTTCTTGTGTCCTGTAAGCGCTCAATCTTTTTTGCTATGATAGTAGCAAAAACCGAACTTAAAACAGCACAACTTTCAACAACCAGATCATTCATGATCGATGTTTCGATAATGACTAAGTCGAAACACGAAGCGTGAACGGCACGAAATCCCCCAACCATGTGAACGTTTCATCAATTCACACTTTCGTGAGTGTCACGAACGACAGTTGACTAGCGTAGTTGACTGTCGTGATTAACGCTCCGTGGGAACGCCCCATTAAAGATGTTCCCGTATAAAACTGTCATAAAAAAAATAAACAAATTTTCTTTAGTGCCAGTACTTTTGCGCCACCCATTAGTTTAATAAATACCTAAAATAATTAGAAAACTACACTTACTAACTTCTCAGAAGTTATGGTTCCGATTTTAACGCTCATCTTTAGATTATTTATTAGTCAACGTTTCGCTTTGTATTGCGTGGCCAGTGTGAGCCATCGCAGAGTACACAATAAAGCACTCAACTATGTAAATAGAAACTCTTTAAATTATCCATAATAGAAACTTTTTTATATCGTGTTTTGATTTGTATTTTTTATTCTTTAACAAATCCTTGTGAGATATCCGGTTCGTTTCACAACACCCATTCTTTTGCGAACGAGAACTGTGGGATTGACTCCCGGTGGGGGTCTTTCCTGGGAGATATGATGTCCAATTGTTTACAGAAAGAATTACCTCCCTCAAATCCCGGCATCGTACCCACTACACCCGTTCAGTAGGCTCTTTTGCCCCCCTCCTATATTAAAAAAAAATACTTGGTATAAAAATGAAATGTTCATGGCCTTGAACATGCTTTAGAATCACTAAGATAAATTCAAAAGGGTATTAAAGATGGCTGATGGCGACGTGAATCTCGTTCGTATATACATTCGAGTCTTCACCGCATGACTCCAAAGTTATAAACAAATATTGAATACAGGAAATGATTAAACATTACATGAATATTATCAACATTTACTGATATATTCGCCGAATGATAAGGTTTTAACGAACAGTTATACCAACCCGCTATACCCAAAATATATTCGGTTTATGTAGTGACGTAATACATATATATTTGGATTTCTCACATATATAAACTAGTGAACAGGAATTTGTGCACACAGTAAAATTCCGCATTGCTCGTAGACGTGTTTGTTGAGAAGTAATCGAAGTGAGTTTTCTAATACTATTCGACTGTTTTAAAGTGTTACAATGATTGTCGATAATTTAAGAATTACGAATATTAGATAAATTAAATCGTAGAGAAACGGTATTATCGGCTGGTCAGTAGAGATAGATCAAATAAGTATCAAATAAGTTTGGTAATAGAAATTCTTCAGCCGTGCAGTGTTGGCCTAGTGGCTTCAGCGTGCGACTCTCATACCTGAGGTTGTAGGTTCGATCCGGCTGTGCACCAATGGACTTTTTTTATATGTGCGCATTTAACATTTGCTCGAACGGTGAAGGAAAACATCGTGAGGAAACCGACATGTCTTAGACCCAAAAAGTCGACGGCGTGTGTCAGGCACTGGAGGCTGATCACCTACTTGCCTATTAGATTTAAAATTGATCATGAAACCGATTCAGAAATCTGAGGCCAAGACCTAAAGAGGTTGTAGCACCACTGATTTATTTTTATTATGTTTTTATTAGAAATTCTTCATCTCTCTTATAAATAAAAATAAAAAACTTTATTCATGACAGAAATATGGTTGTGACAAAATTCATAAGTATATCGCTAGTCCCCATACTAGAGATCCCTCTGTTGTGGGTTAAAAAAATTCCGTGGTACATGGTGCATATACCACGTACCATAATACGGTAAGTGTTGGCCTAATGGTATCAGCGTGTGTGTTTAACTCGCTCGTGCGGTGATAGAAATCGTGAGGAAATTCATGCCTTAAACCCAAAAAGTTCACGGCGTGTGTCACAGAAGGCTAATCACTTGCCTATAACAATTGATCCCTAACAGAAGACCTAAAAGGTTGATGCGACACTATTTTTAATATTACGCGACCGTATTTATTGTCATGATGAAATGGAGCTGGTCACTAAGAGTTGAAATATATCATCCATTTATCGAAACGACATCAAAAAACTGAAAAAAGTCAAATAAACGTACTTGTGAATAAATATTATTATTATTACTATGTAGGTTAAGAAGAATATTGTAAATACATACTGTATTTGTGTGTTAAAAGTATATAATTTACTGTGAATAATAAAAAACAAGGTTATCTGTACGATAATATCTATAAGATATTTTTACAATCAATGTTTTACTGTCACGTCAAGAGCTATATAGTTAGTGTTTTATTTATCTAAGTACAAAAGAACTTTAGGTAAAGACCAAATGACGATTCTTGCGGTCGAATTATGTTTAAGCTGTAAAAGATATACAGGAATTTAGTTATAACGGTGCAACTGGACTTATTTGAAATGTTATATTGTTAAGGCTTTATGTGACATATATATTTTTATTTGTAGTTTTGTTTATCCATTAAAAATATGCCATCAAAAACATAATTTGTAAAAAAACAAGTCTCGCAACTCAGTTCTATAACGTAAAAAGTTGTGTGTAGAAACATGTAAAACATCGGTTAACTGCTAGCTAACCTAACAACATCTTATACTAACCCTAATAATATTAATATTTTTAATAAATTCTAAAAGTTATATCGAAATAACAAATACGGGTATATGTTAATGTCATTCTGAGCCTCCATACAATTATAACCTTTGCATATATATCCTGTGCAATATTGGACTGCACTGGAAATATTGTTGTCTAATATCCTGTTTCATTGCAGAAATGTCTGACGAACAAGTGCAGCAAGTAGAGATGACGGAGGAGGAACCAAAAGTTGAAGAGGCAGGTGACAGCGAAAACGCAACAGAACCTACAAATTCGGTTTTCACTAATGTTGTTGTTACGCCCCCAAATTGTCCAAAAGGATTCCAGAGGGGAGCGGATGGTGTGTGCCGAGAAGTATTCTAGAATCACCATTTAAATCCATAGACTATGGATCTAGTTATCTCACTATCTAGGATAATAATGCTTTGTTTGGATTTATACTTGTCGTCTACTAATATATGTATGTTTTTAATTTGAAATTCAATTCGAATATTGTGCTTTCTCAATTGATTTACAAAATTGTATTAAATTTATTTACAATTTAGAAATTTAGTTTCAAATAGTGTTGGTAAAAATAACGATTTAGGTTTATGATTAATATATATCTGTGATCTGTGATATTTTGTTTGCGAAATTGCATTAGTGTAATAAATGTTTCCAAATTTATACTGTTATTATTTATGGATTATTACTTTATTCGTTGCGTCATAAAAATATTTGTCAGCAATATATATTGCGATACTTTCATTAATCCACAAAACTCGGAACAAGGCTGAAGTACCAGATAACTTATCTTTGTATATCGCAGTTGAGGGCACTGCACTAACTTCCACCTGCTGCTTCACCCTTCGGATTATGTGGAAATTGACGAGATTTTGGCTGCCTCTCCAAAGTATTTAATATTTCAATAAATCTACATATAATCAACTAAACCTTACAAAAATCCGTTCGGTAGCTTTTAAGTTTATCGCGTTCATACAGACTAACGCAGACTTCATAATATGGTATTATAAGTTATTTCCTTATATGACACATAAATGGAGACGTAATGTATTTCAGTACAATATTTTCGAATGTTTAAGCGTGAAGAACATTAGGATCATGTATGAATGTATCAAATTCGACTTCCACTAAATTTTTGTATAGACATTTTAAATTATGATGCAATAATTATGGGAACAAATGGACGGTACACGATCGATTAGTCGATTGACCGGCCAAGTGGCACAAAACCTAGGCACTCTGTCTGACACCATTTACCAAGCTGGAAACCGTCAGAAATAGAAGTAGAGGTGTTGTCTATCACAACAGAGTCGAGAGCATCACGAGAATCAGCATAAAGAAAGCGTGGAGAAGGAGGAAATGCATTCGAATGTGAGTGCTAACGAATTCATGCTCGGGGATGGCCATTAATCTGTCATTACCTAGACTCATTGATGTTGTGTAAAATACAGAAAGCTGGTCATCTTCTTGTCAAAACAATTCACAAAAGTATATAAAATATGACCATACCTCAGCCCCTGATCATCTTCCAATTCTTCGGAGACTAAATGACTTCTATTTTGCTAAAACTTGTGGCGCCACTGACTTTTTTAAATTTATTTTTTATTCACTCCATGAATGACATGATGACATTCTCCATGCATGCTCGTCGGCAGTGGGAACTTTTAATTTGTCTAGTACCTCCGGAATTTCGGTCCAGGTATGTACGATAATGGCTACCTAACCCGACTTCACCGTCCTTGGTTGCCTTGTAATTCCTACATGTTAACCACTTCGTATTCATCTGTATCCTTTTGACTACGTCCTCTTTTAACACACACTAGACTAAACACTAGAAAAAATTGCAAAAACACAAAACGACAACACTCAGCTCAGCGGCCTTGCTTGCAGGGATACTTCCCCTTTAAAAAAAAAAACCCACACTAGACTGACTATATTACTATTTTAGTATATAGTATACCGAATAATATCATATCGCTTGCCCCGGGGAACAAAGTCGTAAAAAAAATCTATTTTTTTTCAAAAAAAAGAAAACAAAAGAAGGTGATGGTATACAGTACATATACAATATACATATCAAATGAGACCGATTTTATTATTTGACAATTTAAACCGAAGATCTGGCAGCTACCTCGGACAAAGAATTAGTCTAGCAATTCAAAGGGGTAACGCTGCCAGTATCTTCGGAACCTTGCCTAAAGGGACTCCTTTTAATGATATATTTTAGTTTATGTTAAGTTTCGTTATTTATTTAAATGTATATTATTTTATTATTATTAGTTTATGTTTATAAGTTTAATTTTATTAATATTTAAACATTGTTGTTATGTATTAAGTGTAAAAAGTTCTATAATTACTAAATGTACATTACAGTAATTTATTTAATCAGACTGAAGAGCAAAAGAGTTTTACGATTGTTTCACTGTTTAAACATAATTACGGACGACACAGTTACCGCATATTACGACGGTAATTTTGACGAATGTCTTAAACGTAATAATTTATTACCACTCTTATTGAAAATATTGTGACCTTGGTGCAACAGAGATATATTATAAACACTCCTTATTTGTTTTCAAACTGCATCAACTTTTATGATTATTTCGTACAATTTATATTAAATGTATCTTTATGGCCGTTGCTATCTTTTTCAGGAAAGTAAAACACCAACAATATTGTGCTTAAAAAAAATCCGTAGAAAAAATTCGTTTGTTTTTTTGATAGTAAAATGTTACGCAAAAATTCTGAAAAAATTATAAGAACTAACCCAAGAAAGTCAAAAAAAAAAACACATTAAAACCATCGTAATAGTGCTTGACGACTTTGGTCCCCAAGGGCAAGCGATATAGCTAATTCACAATGGTCAATTTGTATATTTACATATATAGAACGTATTATTTTTAACTTTTTACTTCTCATTATTCCTCGTTTTTGTGTTAAAATATGGCCCAAAATAACTCCTGCGCTAAATGAAGAAATACTCTTATGACTACATACGCAGATGTATTCTCATGAAACAGTAAAATTCCTGGAAAATGTTAGCTGGGGAGCGCTACATGATTCATAGTGACGTCATGGAAATCAATTGTGTAAACACTGATGAATATAAACACAGACAGAAGATAACGACCGCACACCTGCAAAACTCCACTCCTTAGCTTCACCAAAAGTAAGTACGCTTTGTCACTATATATTTTTATTATTAATTAAAGCATAAAATGTCCTCAAAAACAATTTACAAACAAAATTTTCTTAAAACAATTTGTGCGCCTTTTTCTTTAAGAGGTCTTCAATAAAAGTGCTTATATTGTATCTTTATTATGTAATAATACTTTCAAATTGCTTTTTAAATAACATTTTGCGTCTATTTCAAAGTCTATATATTTCTGATAATCAAAGATACATACTTCTATTAACTTTTCTCTCTTCATTACAGCTATAGGCTATATCATTCTATATTAAACAGTTTACCTGGCTTATTTACAAATGACTAAATAACCATTTTTACACTATTAATTTGCAAAATAATTATTGTTCGTAAAATATTCACAACACCTACTATGTCTAAAACACATTAACATTAAAAATGTAATTCTAAAATTCACCGCATGAAGCAAAACAATACCTATATTATTTGTTACAACAATAATAACACTTGTTATTCCAAGTTTCTTACTCATTGTAAAATTGATGCTTAAAATCTACGCAACACTTAGATAATATATATATATAACTGTAAATTATGTCTTATACAGAAGTATGGATAAAGAAACTCGGGACACGGTTCGGGAGGTAAAAGAAACAGTATCGAAGGTGGAGTTTGAACCTTCGAATGAAGCTACATCGAATAGAACGAAAAGAAGTCCTGAAATCACTTTAAGAAATATGATTGTTACCCCCTCAAATTGCCCCCCAGGATTTCAGCGAGGCGCCGACGGCGTCTGTCGAGAAACTTTCTAAGCTATTCTTTTAAGTTGTTAATATTAAGTTTTTTTTATTAAATCTTGATTGTTTTTGATCATTAAACATTTTGAAACTTAAAATACCGTTGTAGACAAAAATACATGCTATATATACAAAAAATGTATTAAATTATAATAATTTCTATCTACAGTGTGACTAATATTAAATATTGTCAAAAATTAACATTTAAAATAGCGGACTTAATATTTAAGCCATAAATAATTTTCCCTACATTAATATATATAAAGAAAATGGCAGCAATTTTAATCTCATTTATTAAAAGAGTTTTTTAACTAGCCAATGTAATAAGAGATTTCTTGAAAATTGTATGCGCTGCTTTATTTTGCGGTTCAATAAGTAGAGCAGACATAGACAAGAAAGGAATTTTGTCTATACACAAAGAGGTGTCATTTTACTTTTAAATATGCCAACCCCGGTTAACGGGGCGTTTAAAAACAACTGCCTAATTGCAGTAATTCGACTAAAACTTAAGTTTTTATAACCCTGACATCATAAATTTCCTACGCAAATTATAAATAACCTAGGGTTGCATAAGTTTTAACAAATGGAGCGTCACTCTCACAGGAATTCCTGGAAAGAAAACAGAATGTTATTGAAAAGAAAACACACTTTGCCGGGCGAAACGCGATACACATCATTGAAACGGAACATTTGGATAAAAAACTTTGGAATTGATGAAAATGAAAATTATAATTTTAAAACGCGTTTTTATCCAGCAAGGTGTAGATTCTTTTCAACCTGTGGTACTCGCGTAAATATGATAATCTAATCAGAATATATTTATCACTATGACAATTGTCAATTTTGAAAAATACAAATGACAAACACATAAATCAAAATTATAATCATGCATAAAAAACCATTATTAATTCTCACATTTATTTTATTGACATTCACACATATTATTGCATTATATTTTTTGATAAAATAATATAAAATGTAACGCAGTAAAATATATACTTGAAAAAAATAAAATAAAAATCATACTCAGTCATTTATTACTTAAAAAATAGGTACATACTGTATATTTAAAATTCTAGCTTTACAAATAAAAAAACAAAACCAAAAAATAATAATACATACATACACTAATCAACCTAGGAGCATAGTGCTGCTTAAATAATCACGATTACTTACTCATCTTCCCAAGGACAAATATCATTTCTCTGCTTACAATCACTGATTTTGCTATCTGTGCTTTTACTATCAGCCTTTACGATATCCGAGTCAGAAGAGCGTTCATCAGCACGTTTTATTGTTTTCACTTCCTCAGACACCGTTTTGGAATCATCAGATACCTTTTGTGCTACTGCAGGCACTTTTTCTATACTTTCATCTTCCACAATATCCTCGGAAGTAGCTAAAGGTGCTATTGGAAGCCAAACTCTCTCCACTGGCGAACGCTGAGAATTCTCCCTCTCTGAAACTATACTGAGAGAAGGTGACGTCATATCCAAACTCTTTTGGCTCACTATCGTACGAGTTACATTACCTACAGCATTCACCTCATTATCACGTTTTAAAACGTCTTTTACACTATCGGACGCTTTCTCACTTTCACTCACATCGGCTTCCTTCACTTCCTGCGTTTCATTTTGTTTATTATAAGCGTTTTGATCTATATCAACAGCTAAGTCTTCACACGTGTCAGGAACTTCTGTATGTGAACTAATCTCATCAATTTTATCTGCGTCAACGTCGCTCGAATCTGAAATAGCTTCGATAAGTGCCCCACCAAACATGACGGCTGGTTCGGTTGGAGTAACGTCTGTTGAAGCGAATACTGAGGAGGGCTCCTCAGACTGTATAAGCGAGCGTCTTTCGTCAGGTGAGCTTGTTCGGGGCGGTGAGTCGCCAGATTCTTCGTCTGGTGCTGAGCTTACACTAATAGTTGGAGTTGGATGATGAGGTGCCGTGGTTTGCGGGTAAGAAAGTGAGGGTTGTGGGATTATTCGTTTTTGCCTCGGTGAATGTGGGGGTGATGCTAACGGCGCTAAATGGCGTGGTTCGACAGCTGATAGGCGTCGTAAAGGTGGCGCAGCCCCTCGCAAGCCCCCATCGAGGGTGCTTTGCTGGGGAAGTCTCCGCATTCGTTCCCCACTCCCTATAGCAGCGCTTACGTCTGAGGAGGAACTGCCCGAATCCGCCGCTGAATCCTGCCGCCGTCTTGCTCCACCGTAAGGTAACTCTCGCGTTGCTGTTTCCCACGGTAAAACTTCTGAGGTATCATCGTCTGGGTCTCTGTAATTAATTTTTTTATAGAATTTTAATATGGAAGATATAAACTACTTTTAAGTTAGAAAAGTAACAAAAACATGATTATACAAAATATTAAAAATTACGACAGCGATACCAACTTAACACCAACACAAAGGAATACGATATTAACAGGAAGTGCTTATAAAGGAGGAGCCCAACGAATATAATCAGGAAGGGCGCTGTATAGCCGACACAGTGAAACATTTGCTAGCAAGTTATGGGTCGTAACTTCAAGTTTGTATAATATATCTTCCTTTCTGCGGAGCGCAAATCATAAAGTAAGATCCCTTAAATTTGATAGGAGTAGAATAAAAAGGAGTTTATGGTAAGCTCTCGTGTTTTAAAAACATACCTAAAAGGTATATCGCAAAGGTTGGACTGCGAGTGGCTATGCGGCGGCGGTTCTGGCGGGCGCGGAGGTTGTACTGCACAAACAGCCAACTCGTGTGCAGATCCCGACAACGAGCGGTCAGACCCACGTCGTCGAGATAACCCACTACCGCTGCCAGACCCACCGCTACCGCTGGTGGAACCAGGTTTCTTCTTTACTTGGCCACCAAAGTTAAAGAATCTGTAAAATAATTTAAAACTTATTGGCGTCTATGCTGGAAAAAAACATTTTTAAGACAGCTGTAACCACATTCCGATTTTGAGCCAAAGGATATGTATACCTATACTATTGAGGCTTGATGTTTATATTCTCACATTACACATTTAGCCGTTTGTCCTTCCTTGACATATTGACTTGACGTATCAAACAGCTTGACACTTAATTGAATTATAATAAACTAGCGGACCCGACAGACGTTGTCCTGTCGTAACTATGAATATTGATTACGAATTGGTATAATTAACGAAAAAAATATTTCAGAAAAAAAAGTGTTTATTATTCTAATGTTTTATGATATACAACATTCTTTGTTTGTTTTTCTGGATTGTAATTAAATAGTTTTGTTGGTATTCTGACACGGGAACAGATATATTTTATCAATATAATAACGGAGTTATCGAAGCATTTGTTTTAAACAATATTAAACGTAAACGTATTCGTTTTAAATGGTATTCTTATTTTTTTTTAATTTTCCGCGAAATTTTTAAATTTTTTTTTCTTTCATAAGATTTTCTCCCGACAATAACAAACACAAAAAAAAGAATTAGCAAAATCAATCCAGCCGTTTACGCGTGATGCCGTGACCAAGGGAAATAGGGATTCCTTTTTGGTATATATAGATGTGCAAAGTGAAATCGGGTTAGGTGGGCCTTGTCGTACCCACCTGGACGAAATCCCTCCTGGATTATATATACTATATTATATATACTAGAGAAAGGAAAAGTTAAAAGTACCCATAACCAACGAGCATGCATGGTGCGTCAAGAAAGCGGATGAAGAGAGAGAGGTATGTCGGGACCGTAGCAAGTGAAGATCTGTGATCTCTGTCTACCCCTCCGGGAAAAAGACGTTATAATATAAATAGGTATGATTAATAGATGTTCTTTATCGCAGACGAGCTTAGAAGAAGGGCGTTTTAGAAAGTAATGAGATCGAAACTCACTTGGCCTTCTTTTGATGAACATTCCGTCCTTCCGTAAGCAGACGTTGGAAGTGATCGGACCGGATAAATCGAGGATAGCAGTCCTTCTTGAGCAGTAGTCCATAAACGTGGTCAGCCGCGTGATCCAGCGCGTACCGAGAGCCCGTTCTGCGACCTTCTGCCACCCTCTCAGCAGTCGCGCCGTCTATGTTAATCTCGCAGGGCGCTCCTGGCTTTAGGAACTCTCTGAAAACGATGATCAAATTAAATAGATCGCATTTCATTATTATTGTGCTTACTACACTAAGCTGTACTATACATGCTTTTGCCTTTACTAATTTACTATATGGTTGTAATGTACAATAAGGACTCTTTATAAAATAATGTATATTTATTTTTATTCATATTTTATAGTTAAAAATAACAAAGGATAATTTTAAAAACCCATATCCCATAAACCCGGTAGACCGAGGTGGGATGGGTGCGTTGGTGGGATGGAATTGTCAAGAACCTCGAAACAATAGGGGTTCAAAGTTGGACACAAGAACCACTATATAGATTGCGATGGCAAAATATACTCCTCGAGTATATTTTGGCTCTATAACCCTTGATGATGATGATGATATTTTAAAATACATTCCAAGGCGTTCGATTTATGTATTTTTTGAGTATTGGTGGTGGTGGTTTAGACGAACTCGTACATTGGTATTTGAAGAGCCACATTAAAAACAATCTTCTTCAAACTAAGCAGTTACAGATAGTGCAATCCACGAAGACGCGCCCCACTATTCCTCCTAACCGTTTATAGTATATGTGTGCAAGCTTTCGCCAATGTTGAGTGTTATCGGTACATACGCACACTACAATGAATAGCTGACGGTTCGCAACTGACGCTCGGAGCAAACTCCCCGCACCCCGCGATCCCCTCAACCAAAAATTGGTGGGGAGCGTCTTCGTGAATTGCACTATCTATATATTATTTTCAATTTCACAATTTGTTGTACATACTCAAAAATATCATCAAGCTTTTTGGGTATCTGCTTAGTACTACTCCTCCGTAAGTCCATCACGGCCAGCCAGAACCGGATGTTCTCGTGGGAGTACTCTTTCCTGAGGAAGCTGGTGAACTCCTGCAGGCCCGTGGGGTCTGACACCAGCTCTTCGATAGACAACGCCCAGCGCTGTACACGCTTCTCGCTCGGAATTTCCACACTGAAATTATTTTAAATAATAAAAACCTTTCTTATGTAAAAATCCTTATTAGTAAATTAGGTTAGACTTAAATTACTTATTAGTCTTAAGTTAGGCTAGATTGTAATGTTCCATGATGTCTTACTAAAGACACATGTATCTGAAAAAAAAAAAAATAATAATAAAAACCTGTATTTAAGTAAATATAAATTATGGAAACCTAGAATTATACCAATGGCCCTACAACCTTTTAGGTCTGGGCCTCAGATTCCTGTATCTTTTTCGTGATCATCTCTAATAGGCAAGAAGGTGATCAACCTCTGTGCCTGACACACACCATCAACGTTTTTGGGTCTAAGGCATGCCGGTTTCCTCATGTTTTCCATCCGTATGACCGCAATGTGAACATAGACATAAAGTCCATTGGTGCACAGCCGAGGATCGAACCTACGACCTCAGGGATGAGAGTCGCACGTTGAAACCTCTAGACTGACACGGCTCTTTCTACATATTTGATGATTAGCACTCAAAATTTAAAGTTACGCTAATAATATAGTCGCGCTGTGTCATGTGTATAATAATATTAAAACATTGCTTACATTGGACTGTTAATTTGCCAGAACAGTGTATCATCGCTGATCCAGGGATTGGAAGGTTGTGGTTGTGTGAGCACAGGGTCGTATGGTGCGTAGGTCTCTGAGTAGGCCGTTAATGCTTCCAAAGCAACTGAAGTTTTCACTCTCGTCCTATCTAAGCTGGTTTTAAGGTGTTCAATCTAAAACACGAAATTAAATGATAAACTTATTGTTGTTCCGACGAGAATGTAAGTGCGTGCTCCCATTTCACCATGTCTCCTGCTGATAGAGGACAAATCCTTGCTTTTAATTTATTTTATTATGATTTTCACTATTGATTACTTAAGATGTCATGTGGAACATGGTGTAATTGTTGTAGCTCCTTAAAAACATTGAGTGAAACACAAAACTTGGCGATCAAAAAGAGTGGCGCAGAGTTTATTGCCAGTTGATCTCTTCCGTTCTACGCCCTTGATTTGAGAACTGGCAGTACATGTAAAATTAGAAGCATTTAATATATATTTCTTTTTTGACGTTCATAAGTGTACACTGTACATTGTGTTACCTATATAAATAAATGATTTTGACTTTTGTTAGCAAATGTATTTTGGAACGCAACCAATTTAACGTTTCTAACTTTGTCACGAGAGGCCCATATATTACCTACTTCCACTTTTTTCCCCCCAAATGTCGTACTCAGATTAAATTGTATTCACCATATATTCCTTTTATAACAACATAACATTCTAACAGTTTTAGCAATTTAATATAAAGTTGTATTACTTGTTTATGAAAGTCACCTTTAATATTTACTTACGATATTCGTATACGTACTATAGAACGAGTGAAGCGTTCGCAACATGGTATTATAATAACGAAATATTCGGCAACCATAACATTTATTCATTATTACATTGTGTATCATATTATATTCATCTATTTATTAGACACTGCTGCGTTAATTTATGTGCTATTATTGTTATTTTCTTTATTCCTACATAATTCTGTATTTACAGTGTAGGTATATTCGCGGATGCTTGGGGGATCTGGTTAGCGCTGCTATTTTCACACATGTCATTCTTTTAGCCACGTGTTACTTTAATTTAATTAATTAATAATAACAAACCTCTCGTTGTAACTGAGGTATCGTCCTTTTCTTTGGCTTCGGATGCCGCGATCGCACTGGAACTGGGCAGGGCTCCAATGCGCTCGGCACTCCCGGCGGCGGACGAGCGACGCGCCAATAGGCACGTTCTTGACTATCACTGACGATTTTATCACCCTTCTTCCTTTCTTTTGCTAGACGTACCTGAAAATATCGATAGGTTTTGGACAAGTTGTTTTTGAAAAAATAAATAATTTATGTTTTTATTATAACGATCACTGTTGGCCTAGTGGCTTCAGCATGCGACTCTAACACCTAAGGTCGTAGGTTCGATCCCTAGCTGTGCACCAATGGACATTCTATGTGCGGAACGGAAAACATCGTGAGCAAACCGACATGTCTTAGACCCAAAAAGTCGACGGCGAGTGTCAGGCACTAGAGACTGATCACCTGCTTGACTATTAGATTTGAAAATGATCATGAAACTGATTCAGAAATCTGAGGCCAAGACCTAAAGAGGTTGTAGCGCCACTGATTTTTCTAAATTATAACGATCATGTGTTTGTGATTAATAAACGTTGTTTATTGACATTTGAAATTATTCATTTACTGATTGAAGCGTCAGTAAATTAAAAGGATCGTTACCCACCTGTTCTTCTGCCTGCATAGTGATGAAATCCCACTTTGCAGCGAGGTTTTTCTTGAGGTTCGCCAACGCTTCTTGTTCATAGTCTTCGAGGCCATGCCGTTGTTTATTGCGTAGTGTTCGTTTGACGAGGTAGATAGCGTATTCAATATTGTCCGGACCAAGTGTGGGCGCACTTGAACCACTACCGGCCACACGCGGCGCCTGCCATGGCCAGTAGTAGGGACTCTGAGGAATTTAACAAATTAACGAAGTTAATTGACACAGAATTTTTATTACACAGAAAATAAATGTAAAAACTATCAAATGTATATTAAATGTTTAAATCGTTAAACTATCCAGATATAAACTCGCAAGTCACATAGAAATTACACTAGCCAAATTGGATTTCGAATCTACAGACGCTACATATCTTGGTTTGATTTTGAGGTTTCATAAACTAACACAGACACAGTACACGATCATAACAACTTTCAGCTACATTCACAAATACATGCGCATACACACCCATTCACACACTCACTCATTCTTTACAGATCCTTTTGGACAATCTGTTAGAAAGTAGCCCATCGGTATGGCACTACCGTCCGTACCAATTATTTTAATGCTAATTTTAAATAGAATGTAATGAAATAGAAAGTAATATACGCAGGATTAACTGGATATCATATGGAACATCTTTTTTAACCCTACGCTTGTTCACGTTAATAAATCCTATGTATGTGGACGCATGTATATTTCTGTGAATGACATTGTGACAATTAAGAGACATGCATTTTTGCCTTCGTGTAGACAACGCTAATTATGTAAAAATCGTACGTTTTTTTTTTACTTAGCACGGCGGACTTGGGTAATTTGGGGAAACCATTATTGTTTCAGGGTAAGAATCATCTGAACTTATAATCAAAGAAACATAACTCAACCCCTATGGCCAATTACAACATGTACTTTTTAATTTATAATCTTTATATGGTTACATAGAATTATTCACTTATGAGTCATCATAATTGGTAACAGATGCTTTTGTGCATTTTACATGTAAATTCATTTTTCTTTTTTTCACATGTTGGTTATGTATATTATGTAATGTAAATCATTGTTGGATGCATGACTGGACTGTCAGTATTCATGTTATTGACTGTTTTATGGAGGAAGGTGCACTACATCCCATTTAAAAGGATATATTCTCGATCACTCCGGCCCGAAGGACCTAAAGCTAAGGTCGAGAGGTATATACCCTTAGCGTACGGAATAACTTCTATTAGCTGATTCAGGGCAGATAGTAGACGAATATTGTGGTGTCGTTAGTGTGTTATCAAATAAATAAATTGAAATACTTACTTGAAATCGGTAAAGAGAAGAGTCATCTTTGAATACTAAGTTTTTGAGGTCGTTGACAGGGAAGAAGTAACCGTATTGGCAAAGAAGATTTCCTAGATTTACAGCTTCAACTGAAACAGAAACATTTTACGATCTTTAAAGAAAAGAGCGCTTCGTCTTTCTAAACCCATATTTATAAAAACTAAACTCAATCATTTTGAAGGAAATCTTTACAAAACATTTTGTATCAAAAGTCCTACAAACGACCTCTGCGCATATATGATTTTAACTTTGGCCAATATTAAAGAATGTCTTTGACATTTGGTTTTACAAGTAGTATTTTCATCATCTTTCAGGTAGTTCTGTAGTATAAGCTTAGCCACATAATACTTCTGCTTTGGTACGATTATACATGATTACGCGGAGTAGTCTATGTGACTGCCTGTGGAGACATACATATTAATCTACAACTCTATTTAATATTAACAATTCTGTTTGATTCCTGTCTTATACAATATTATCTAATATATAAAATTCTCGTGTCGTGGTGTTTGTAGATAAACTCCTCCGAAACGGCCGATTCGACGGATTCTCTTGAAATTTTGTGTGCATATTGGGTATGTCTGAGAATCGGACAACATCTATTTTTCATCCCCCTCAATGTTAAGGGTAGACCACCCCTAAATTATTTCTTTTTAATTTTTAGATATTTTATTTTATTTTTTATGATACAGCATTAAAAAATACATACAATCCCTCATTTTCACCCCTCTACGATCAACCCCTATTTTTTATTATAAATGATATATATGTACATGGCAAAACGACGTTTGCCGGATCAGCTAGTATTATTATAACTATAACATGGACTTCATTTACAAATCGATTAAACCAAACCAACTAAAGATTATAGAACGCCTTTTAAAAATTACATACCAAAATAGCACTATAAGAGCCTTAAGAATACTGGCAATAAAGTATTTATAATACTCTATATTAACACGCTTGAATTGGTTTATTCTATATACAGACTATTATAATAGGGATTCATAATGCAACTGTGTTTCTCCAATTATCACTCGTACAGACACGCTCGAAGATATCTCGAATATATTTTATTTTTATCTATTTATAAGAATTCAGAAAGAAATCATTTTATCAAATAGTTCCTATCAAATGAGTTACACCAAACAGGTAAGATGTACACAGAGGTAACAGTAATATACAGATTTAATTCAAATTTTGAAAATCCTATGAAACACATAGTCCCTTTTCCCATTCGGTTCATTTCAAGTGTGTAATGAGTGTGTGCTGTGGTTGTAATTGGCCCTGGCTCAGCATTATGCTGAGGAGCAGAATTTTCCGGAGCGCTGGTCATTTTGCAGAAACCACAGAAGCTAGTTTGCGCCTCAGTCGCAAAAAAAAAGAAATATATACAATAAAATTTACGTACTATTAGTGCCATCTTCATAATGAAACCTCTCCATTAACCATTCAACTAGATCACAACCTGAAACAGAAAGTATGTTTACCACTTAGCCATAATAGAACTGCTAGACTATTATTATGTCTTGTTGATAACGTCTCCACCTTTTTAAAATATTTAGACCATAATTATAAATAACTGTTGTTATGACATGATATACAGTAATATGACATTTGCGTGCCTGTTTTTATATAGCTGATTGTGTTTTTTTTTATAATTCATAAATCTGAATGTAGCACTTTCTTTTCAAATAAACGATTTATTATTATTACCTCAAATAAACAAAGATTAACAAAGACAAACTCGTTGACAATTCTTATTTCTTTAATTGTATTGAATAAGTTTTGATGATATTTCGAAAGTGAAAACTTTATATTTAGCTAATTAAATGCACTGATTCTTAAATATTTTTTCTTGTAAGGTGAACGACCGAGACGTAGAAATAATATCTAGTATCGATTTTACAATAAGTATCGTCAAACGCTGACGTCGTTAAGTTATTTTTGTTAGATACTAACTTTTTTTTGCTTATTCAACAGATAATTGAAGTAAAAAAAAATTGTACTAATATTTAACTTATATCTATGAAATACAAAACTAATGAAAAAAAAACTTATTCTGTATTTTAACCCCTGACAATGCTTGCGTGCTTACACCAGGTAAAGCAGGCAAAACTTTTCAGAAATGTATCTCTAGGCAAATGGGAAAATGGGCGAACGAGTTCATCTGATGTTAAATGATACAGATTGTCACAATCACACTGTCAGAAGGATCGCAGTGCGTTGCCGGACTAAAGTACCCAGGCTATTTTCTAGAACTTCAAGACAAATTGAATCGCAAACACTTAAATGGAAAGCTGGTTCCACATAGTGATGGTGTAAAAAAGTGCCTTAAAAGACAACAGTTCAGTTGTGGAATGACGGACTGTTGAATTTCAAATTGAATAATTCTTTAATGTTTACACGCATTACAAACCAGCGGGCAAAAACACAAAGTTTTACGCGTGTGTAGCGATATTCAGAGACAAATGTTAGCGTGATAGAAAATATATAGTTTTATTAATCATCACCTTACGATACCTCAACAAATAAAGAAGTCTTCGTTCGAATCTGAAGTTTTTAAATTAGACTCCTTACCCATAAAAGCAGATGGAATGAAGGTGAGAAACAGTTTTTGACTGCGTATAGGTACACCTGTTACTGGATCTTGCATTTCTTTAACCAGACTTTCCATCTGAAAACATACAGTTATAATTAGACCATTTTCACTAGAGATAATTTTTATTGTACAATGTTATAATAGAAAGCAGTGTTAGCCTAGTGGCTTCAGCGTGGGACTCTCATCCCTTAAGTCGTGGATTCGATCCTTGGCTGTGCACCAATGGACTTTCTTTCCATGTGCGCATTTAACATTCGCTCGAACGGTGAAAACATCGTGGGGAAACCAGCTTGCCTTTGACCCATAAAGTCGACGTGTGTCAGACTTTAGTTTAAAGAGTTAGACTGAACAAGGGATCAGACCCAGCAGAAAAACTGCTTAAAAATGTATCTCGTAATAGCTGTTTTGACGATTAATATTATAACAGGTTACCAATTTTCCTTAATATTGTCAATATATAAGGGCTTAAACGCATTTTCATATCGCACCTTCAGAATAGTAGTGACTTAACTCAAAAATCTAAGAAATTGAGTTACGGTCATAGAGGGTCACTAAAAGGTACGCACTTTTAGGTGAATAATAAAGAAGCGGCGTTTTTATGTTAGAATAAAGATTACGATACTTCGGTCTCTTTCGCACTGCCTACCTCTACCCGCGCCGCTCGGATCGGTAGCGACGCAATCAGTGATGCATCGAAACTAAAGTGAACAAGTCGTCGCAAGTTTATTAGTGAACTGACCTAAAACGTAAGAAGTCACTTGTGTACTGAACAAACGGGTAAGTAAACTTCTCAATCTTCAGTATAAATTATATTCGCTGTATTAAACATATTATGTTTAATACAGCGAATATAATTTCGCTACAAGTTCGTGCTACTAAGAAATATTGGACTTATAATAATAATAATAATAATAAAAGCCCTTTATTCGGTGACCTTTTTAACTTACATGTTATTCTTCTTAACAGTAGTATTCTTAAATCTAATTTACATAGCAGAAATAATAAATTTATTAGCAACCACTTTGGTAAGGTTTGTCTGTCGACATAGGCCTCCTCCAATTTCGTACTCCTGATTTTAATCGAATTTTTAAAAAAAAATATAAAGCCAGTTTTTTAAATGGGCCAAAAAAAGCCGTTAATTTTGTAGAGGGATGACGCTTGTACGGTCTTGAAGACTCTCATTCACGCCGAGGACAAAAGCTGAGTTGTCACTGAGTTAAGTGTACTTCATAATCTTCAGTTTAGCGGGAAACTTCCACAATGTGTTTAAATTTTGTAATCTGGCAATATTTAAGACATTTATGGCTATGAGCTGTAGATTTCTGCACTTATTTCTTTATATATATATATATATATATATATATATATATATATATATATATATACGATGAAAACGATGCACAACTTATAATGGAAGGCGAAGCGGAAGTAAAAAGAGTGGCGGAGAGTTTATTGCCAGTTCTTCTCTTCCGTTCTACGCCCTTAATTTAAGAACTGGCAGTAAATGTAAAATAACAAGAATTTAATGTATATTTCTTTTTTGACGTTAATAAGTGTACATTGTGTTACCTATATGAATAAATGATTTTGATTTTTTTTAATGTATTTTCCTTTTCTTTTGTAATTTTGTAAGATTAGATTTTAAATCTAATATTTAATTAATATTTTTATTTTAGATTAATTTTGGTAATTGCATAATTCTTCAGTGTTAGTTGTACTTTCCTTTTTGATTATGCCCTTTGCACTTTGCTTATTTTCCTTACTAGGCCAAGGTCGTAAGTTCGCTCCCCAGCTGTGCACCAATGGAATTTCTTTCTATGTGCGCATTTAACAATCGCTCGAATGGTGAAGGAAAACATCGTGAGGGACCGGCTTGCCTTACACCCAAAAAGTCGACGGCGTGTCAGACACAGGAGGCTGATCATCTACTTGCCTATTAGATTGATAAATGGACATGAAACAGATACAGAAATCTGAGGCCCGCACCCAGGGAGCCACTGATTTATTTTTTATTATTGAAAGATAAATAGTTTTCAGTTACAGCGTGAAAGTCTGACAAATTCACATTCACGACAGGATACAGCTGTTAGTGACAATCTCAGTGAAACAACAGATTGTTTCACTCGGAGGCGGAAATTGTGTATCTTGACAATTAACAGTCTACGACAAAGCTTTATACATGATGTTTTTTAACAAATACAAGGTATGGACTCAATTTCCGTACTTAGACACTCCTTTGGTCCGTTGTGCGTAGTCCTGGCTAATTGAGCCAGCCTAGCTCCTTCCAGAAGCTCAGATATTTCCTGGGAATTTACAGGGTTCACTGTGCGACCAAAACAAATGCGTAATAGATACCCTTTTATTTTACGTTATTTATAACGCAATTTTAAATCTATTTTAAATTCTTAAAAGCAATTAAATGAACATGTACGGTTTTTTTAAGTTGGCTGTAAGCGATATAAGACAGCATTTCAACAAGCATATCTGAATATCTTTTTGCCTTTTGCTATCAAACTGTTTTTAGAAATTAAAGACATTTTGCTTTGTTGGTGCAACAAGATTTGTGTCCACTATGATAGATGTAACAAAACTGTAACGGTTAGAAAACTATGCTGAATAGTAATATGTAGACTTTTTTGGAAATTAACACCAACGCAAACCTACAAATAAGCTACCAAAAACGCACTCTTTGCTCAACGCTTTCTCTTTTTCAGAGGCTCTTTCATCATTAACCACTTTCCTTAAAACAAAATTTTGACTAACGATTCAAAACTTTATTAATTCACTAACAATCTAAAACATCTCAACCTGTCCTATGCTGAAACAGAAAGTATTCTTATTGTGCAACAATAGATTAACTATACAGGTGGCCAAAATGTCGTGGATCAAACGCAAATATGGGATAGATGAGGTCATCGGCTGCAAAAAATTGTTCTACGGGTCCTTAAGCTCAACCCCTGCAGAGTTATTATTTATTTTGCGTTTTTATAATAAAACTGACTTTTTTTACTAATTCTTGTTAAAATTCGAAAAAATCTACATTCTGTATTATTTCATAATTTCACTAGATTGGTACTGATGAGTACTTGTATGCTATTTATGGTTGCTTATATACAATAATATAATATAATACACCCAGTATTAAAGATAATATTAAGATTAACGAAAAAAAATCTACTCAAATCAGAACTTTTTATTTACTTCGGACCCCACTGTGAAAAAAATACTTTACCGAAAAGTTACCCTATATAACAAATTTTGGACCATTAAATAGGGATTCCGAAAAGGTATTACACATGGCCATGAGCGGGTCTAATATCGGCTAGTGCACTTTCTTTTTACCTAAATATCCTTTTTATTGTATAGAATAAAATTCCTTACTTATCTATAAATACAACTTAATATGAGCGAATGCAATATACCAGTCCCGTTATTCGTGCTCTCGGAAGGTATCACATCTAAGGGCGCGAAGGCCAAGACGATGACGTCACGGGCCGATCAATACTTACCCGGCATCCGGGCTGGCTTCGAATATGGTATTCGTTGCGAAGATAAAACGCCCAGGTAACCTTTATATATCGACGTAGGAAAGCATATTTGCTGTAAGTAGACAAAATACCTAAAGTGACTTTTTACTGCCATTAGAATCAGAAAAAAAAACCGCATCGAATGTCCCGGGTCCTGTGTCTCTACGATGAAAAAAAAATTACATACGCGGTTGAAAACGCCCGTACTTATATTTTTTTTAGTAAGATTAAATGCTGTATGTAGACCAAAATCCAGTCATTTTAGACAATTTGTACTTACAGCAAAAGAAAATCTGCATTTTTTACTTTACAAATACTTACTTCTTCCCATTTAAAAACTTAACGCTACTTACAGCATTTCTGCGGCGTGTGATTTTTACATTCGTTTACTTACAGCAAGCTTAGGGAACCTACAGTTTTAGTTTTTTTTTACCATTTACAACATGTTATTACAACCAAATATTACATTACCAAATGACCCACTGCATTTCTAGATCTAATCATAATTATAAACTCATCTTACATCTTGAATTGCAATTGAAAGTACCCAAATACATAAATTTACTGCATACAGCATATTTACCGCCTGTAAATTGATAATATTTCCGCGCGTACATTTTTCTTCCTTAGTTACAGCGTTTTAAAGGTTTGTGATTTAAAAAACTGTATGCTGTAACTAGCCAAACACGTACTTATAGTAACTTTGGATAAAAAGTTTACATTGCAAATGGTGACTGGCAGTTAAATAAATATATGTTTCAAAAATGGTAACAATATCATGGATAGGTTCGACACTATTAATTTTTTTCCGAAATTAATTAAGTTTTTTGGCTCTGGTGAACAATTGCAATATGTCTACTTACAGCAAATATGCTTTCCTACGTCGATATATATGGGATTATATATTTAATTTTAATTTTAGTCCCCCATAGCTTTCGTTATATAGCGATTGGGCTGTGGATTTTCAATAAAATTGTGCTATACTATCTAAACTATATATAGCCTTTATATTCTGAAACTCTGTGATTTGGATCTTTAATATTGCAGTATATCTGCTTACGTAATACTTGAACGACCCCTACCTTATATAACATTAAGAAAGGAATTAAGGAAAGACTAATTCGACTAGACCAGGGGTCTCCAAACTACGGCCCGAGGGCCACATCTGGCCCACGGACAGATTTTGTCCGGCCCGCGGAGAACTAACATACTCCTTTTAGAGAACATATTTTTTATAGCAAATTTATTGTTATTGTTTTTGTGATAAAAACATAACTTATAACAAGCATAATGACATATGGTTTTGGCCCTCGGAACTTACTGCAGTAATCAGTATGGCCCTATGGCTGGAAAGTTTGGGGACCCCTGGACTAGACGAAAGGTAAGCCGATTTTCTCACGATGTTTTCCTTCACTTCAAGCGAATGTTAAATGCGCACATAGAAAGTCCATTGGTGCACAGCCAGGGATCGAACCTACGACCTCAGGAATGAGAGTCGCACGCTGCTGCTCACGAACGAATAATACCACAGGTAATATTAAAATGATA